TTTGCAACTTTTTCCCTATAGCTAAGTTTGTCTTGCATTTGTACTTCCGTGCTCTGAAAGCATCATTCTATCTTTACCGTTCATTACATTTAGAAGGAAAATAAAATGGTACTTTCAGTATGGAAACATGCAAGACAAATTTAACTTACGAGGCTTTCTACTTTTCTGCCAAGTTTGCATTCTGAAACGTTCTTTTTGAGGAAAATTTTACTCAGTGCCTTATAATTAAGGTGACCAGATTTTTTACTCTTTGTCCCGAATTTTTTCGAGTGCTATTCGGGATACCGATTTGCCGTCATTTTCAATGATTGTCAAATAATTTTCGGATCTTTTAACCCGCCTCCCCCCGTTTCACACATTTATGAAGTGTCCCAAATTCAGGGCTGGAATCTGGTCATCTTACTTATAATTCACGTTACATATAGAATATGGAGTAAAATTTTCCTAAAAAAGGACATTTTGGAGCGCAACTCAAGATGTGAAAATTTTCCCTGAAGATGGAGTCCCATGGCATATATTTTCGCGTAACGCGTAACCACGTAATCAATCACATCTTTCTATTCTTTTAGAAGTTCCAACAGAAACACTAAACGTTGTAATTTATTGGTTACGCGTTTACGCGATACGCGGAAAATACATGCCATGGGACTTCAGCCTTAGAATAACACGTATACGCGCGTTTTTCGCCAGAAATGCAGTCACGACCTACCATCTATGTTTTAGAGATGCCGTTGAGATTGATCATCCCGCAGCAGAACACATACGCACCTTTCTAACAACATCCATCCCGTCGACGACCTTGCCAAACACAACGTGCTTTCCGTCGAGCCAACTGGTTTTGGCACTGGTGATAAAGAATTGACTGCCGTTAGTGTTGGGGCCAGCATTCGCCATGGAAAGTATACCGGGCTCGGTATGAGTCAGCTTGAAGTTCTCGTCTTCGAATCTGGTGCCGTAGATAGATTTGCCGCCGGTGCCGTTATGGTTGGTGAAATCACCACCCTGGCACATGAAATTCGGTATGACCCTGTGGAAGCTGCTTCCCTTGTAGCCGAAGCCTCTCTCTCCGGTGCAGAGGGCGCGGAAATTCTCCGCCGTCTTGGGAACCACGTCCTTCCTCAGCTGGAAAATCGCGTTACAGCGGACGAATGTAGTCGAAGTCGCTGCTTGCATGCCTCGCGTATTCAATTATCGCATAACGCGATTAGACGATCGCGATCGTATCGCGATGATTACGGTAAGAAAATCGTCGGCGCTTGACGTTAAAAGCTAAAAGATCTGCTTTCCGAAAAAAGAAAGAACACAGGATAAAAAATCGCAACAAGAAAACGACGTATCGACGGTGCTTCAGCTCTCTCGCGCCATCTGTCCATAAAACTCTGAACCTGCACGTTAAAATAAAATTCTAATACTATTCTATTACTTAGCAGAAATAACGAGCTAACGAGCCCTGCTAATTTCCGAGATTGCTGGTGGATATTTATAGAGTGTGTCGCAATATGCGATTCGTCGACGCGCTGTGCATCGCACGGATTTTCACACGATAAAGTCCTCACGCGAGCGATAACATGTTTTATCGAGATTTATCGAGAAAACATGTGATTTATCAAAATTAAAAAAAGAAGATAAGAAATAAAATCTTATCGATCGCATCGACGCGAAACCATTGCGAATAGTCCAGTCGCGTTTATGCGCGAGATTCTTTTTCCCTACATCCACGTTCTTCTCGGAATAATGCCATTGTCTGATTTTCCGCTGAAGCCGAGCACAACGGAAGCGAAACTCGCGAAATCACGTGCGCACGGGTGCAGTTCGCTCGTAATTGCGCGTCGACTCATCGTCGGTCAATGGAAAATTTCGCAATGACGGCCAGGATCGTGTGCGGGAGAGCAAACCCGCGCGACCATGATGCACCGCGGCGAACGAACGACCGTTCGCCATGATTCGACTGATTCGTGAGAGCGACAATCACCGGTCGAGTTTTGCCGTTTGTCTTTTATTCCGTCGTTAGCCGAGCTCGCATTACGACCACGTCGGCGACGCGATCGGCACGCGTGTCTCACGCCGGGGCGCGATCCGTTCGCGAACGACCGGCTCGAAAGAGCGAATCAAAATGGCCATGCACGCTGGAATCACGAAGGTGCTCCGCGGTCTGGTCGAAGTGTCGGTTTGTCGTTACGGTGTACATGTCGTTTTTCGACTCACCTCCATCACGATGCGACCCACGGGCTTGTCGTCCGCGGTCATGTCGAAGAAAACTCGTGGCAAACCCATGTTTTCAGCTACTGCGGCGAAACTTCGTGCGAGCGTATTGAAGGACGGTCGTCTCGGGCGGGCGGTGGCTCCGAAATGGCTCAACTGCCTGAAGGTCGAATCAATTGACAGCCGGCAAATCGATCTCAACGCCATTCTCGTAACTAGAAACTCGCCGGAAATCGATCCCGTGTGACGCGATCCGCTTCGTAGGCCGATCAGACGTTGCTTTTGGGGCTTTTACGAGCTTTTCGCCGGCTGTTGCGCGAAAATATTATGTAATAAAAAGGACGCTCACGGCTGTGTAACGGTTCTTATCCAGAAAGAAACCGTTCGCGGCAACCAATTGGGAGCTTTGCTTCTCGGATATTCTGGGAACTATCTCGATGGCGACCAATCCGATGCTGTAGAGAGAATTGCCTTTAATAATGATATTTGCAACAAGTGGCTTTGTCTGCACTATGCAATGGAAATATTGTTTAAAAAAAGAATCAAAGCCGAAATTGATAGATATTTTTGAAAGGACGTAACACGAAATTATTTATGAAGTAAATTGAAGTTTATCATTTACTAGATTTGGAGTTACTAGAAATTCTCGATCGTACGTGTCGGGTCTATATATTTATGCATCATGATTGTGGGTTATTCGAAGAGACATCAAAAATATCTCGAATATAGGTTATTAAGGATTCACACCGCGTCCGATGTCCGACGTACGACGTCCGATATCCAATAAAAGAATATCTTTCCAATGGAGAATTAAATTCTATATTAGAAAACTGTTCTCCTATTAGATATCGAACGTCGTATGTCGAATATTGGACGCGGTGTGAATCCTGCATTAGAGTGACATTTGTAGATGTAAAATTATATCTGAGAGAAATAATAATGAGTGCTTTCCATTTAATAACACAAATCGATCCAAGCATCATCCTATCTTTGTTATTTATTGAATATGGAATAAAGACAGAATGATGCTTATGTGTTATCAAGTGGAAAGCACCCAATATCTGTTGAATTGTTGCTGTTTCCTCTCGAATAATCGACAATGATAAATATATGCGAATATTCCAAAGTTTCTAAAGACCTTAGATCTAGTAAATATTACTGCGCTTATGCAGGATTCACACCGCGTCGATGTCCGATGTATGACGTCCGATATCCAATAAGAAAACAGCTTTCTAATAGAGAATTCAATTCTCCATTGAAAAGCTATTTATTCTTTTATTGAATATCGGACGTCGTACATCGGATATCGGACGCGATGTGAATTCTCCATTATGTATTTAACATAGATGGCGTTCAGCAGAGAAAGCTGTTTCGTACCAGGAAGTCGATTGTGTATCTCAAAGCGGAGTAAAAATGACAAAAGTAAGCAAATTTACTAGAATATTTATAATTTTATTGGTCAATGCTTAGTGAATTTGTTCACTTTTGTAATTTTCATTCCGTTTCAAGATACACAGTCGACCTCCTGTTGTAAAATTTGTATTTCTGACGGTCATAATGAGACGCGTTCGAAAACTCCACTCGAGTGTTTCTTTTCTTTCTTTATCTCACTCCTGTACACAGGGGGTCGATTGTGTATCTCAAAATGTGGTGAAAATGATAAAAGTGAGCAAATTTACTAAAATATTTGTAACTTCATTGGTCAATACCTAGAAAATTTGCTCACTTTTGTAATTTTCACTTTGTTTGGAAATACACAATCGACCCCCAGATGTCTATACTAAATTAAATTGGGTGCTTTCCAATTGCTTAATACATTTTGACACACACGTACACAAAACCAGTTTATTGGTCACATATTATCTAAAATATCTTGTAAGATAATATGCAACCAATAAACTGGTTTTGTGTACACAGTGTACGCAACTGGAAAGCACCCAATGTGAGTCAGCATAGACATTAAATTACTGTCATAAAACCAAAAATGCCAGCATCTTATTGCATCAAAAAATAACAAAAAAATAGATGATACTGGACGTTATTTGCTCTGCTCATTTTCAACAAAAGAATTTTATTACTAATAGCTCCTGTACACAGGACGCGGTAATGCTTGCCGCGCGGCAGAAGTCCACGCGACATGCAATCAGTATGTTGTTTTTCCGTAAGAGCTAGAAGGGGGCGTATATCAGTTGGACACGGGGCAATTGGACACAGTCCAATCACAAGTCGCTGTCAAGTGACCCTACAAATGTCTCTAAGTACACGGTGCTGTGATTGGCTGTGTCCAAGTGCACCGCTTCCGCTAGAAGGTTATTACGGAAAGTAGCATATTGATTGGCTGTCGCGCGAACTTCCGCCGCGCGGCAAACATTACCTCGTCCTGTGTACAGGAGCCATAAACATAGTGAAAATATGTGGCGGTAACGGCCATTTTCTCGCATGCACCGGAAACTCTATCGAACACAAACCGTTACATGCTTTTAGATAGCCTGTTAGCAATCTAGTTTAGTGTAGATATCTGTGCTCCTGTATCTTTCTTACTCCAATGCAGCAAGCGCATTCGTAGAGTTTCGAACGCACGCATGACCAGGGTTGGGCACGTATTATACTTAACGTATTATACATTGGTTATATACACGTATGAAACTAGGTATAATACGTCAAGTACGTGCCATAAATTAACTGAATTACCTATCAATATCATTGCAGAAGCATTGTCTGATACGACGGCATAAACACGAATGTTGAATTTGCTCTTAGCAATTTCCGTTGCTTCATGTACAATTTTTGTTAGTGCATCTCCTGTTTCTCTTATGCCAGTTAAGTCCCATGAATTCAGATACATACTCTTGTCCATTATTGTGTGTATTGTACAGACAACTAGTTTGCTATTAGCAGCAGAATTCTTCCAACCATCGATTAACAGTACACCTAGTGTTTCATGTTCTTTCACAGCTGCAGATGTTATTTCACTGTGAACTTTATCTAGCAATTGATTTGAAAGCTTTTTTCTTGATGGAATTTGGTAATCTGGATTTAGGAGTTTTATAAACTCCTTAAACAAATTGGACTCAACAACATTAAAAGATATGTTGCAACCAAAGAGAAATTTTGCCAAAGCTAAATTAATTAATTCATCTGAATTAGTATGAGAACGTTTCAACTCGTATTTATTTCATTTTATCCGCGCTCATTATAAAATCTAAAAGAATAGAAAGAAATTGTCAATATCTAACAATTTATTTGGATTTATGGGCTGTAATAGTTACTTACTTATATTATTTTTTCGTATATTATTCGTATATTTCATTCATATATTATTCGTATATTATTTTTGAAACACTTTATTTATATAACATAACTTATTCGATTATTTATTAGGTTAGAATTTCGCTTTTAACGACATAAGACGGAATAAGGCCAGATCTACAATAGGTGTAGTAAGCTTTAAGCCATAAGAAATTGATCACAGTCAATTTGACTGAGTCAAATATGAGAAGAATACTCGACTATGATTGGTCAATTTCTTATGGCTTAAAGCTTACTACATTTATTGTAAATCGGGACTTAGAATTTTGATATATATAATATATTTCATACGTTTCATACGTTTCTATACGTATTATATGTTTCATACGTAAAAAACGTAAGAAACCATTCGCGGCGCCAAATTGCCCAACCCTGCGCATGACGCATGCATGTTGCGCCTCTAAAGGTACCTTTACATGGGAGCATCGAGCGTCGAGCGTTAAAACGGTAGCCAATCAACGTGCCACTTTCCGCAAGAATTACAAGTATACTTCTAGAACCTGATACGTTGATTGGCTAACGCTTTAACGCTCGACGCTGGAACGCTCCCATGTATTGGCACCTTAACGCTATGCGACACCACACCAATTAAATCACTACCGCCATCTACAGAGGAAGACGTTTGCATCACCAAAGTCTGTGTAATCGCGCTTTTTCATGCCTCTACGCGCATCCCAAATGTTCACAACAATGGTTGTGCCGGTTGAATTTTAGGTTAGATCGTTCGTATGATCTCGTGTAGTTTAATAAATTCCCTAACAGAGTGAAAAATGGACAAAATAAATAAAATAATGATATGTGATCCCAACGACGACGACATAGAGAATGGGAGCGGGAAGGATGTAGAGAACGAGAACGAAGAGGACATTGAGAATGACATATTACGCGATATCAGACCAGTCATGTGGATCAATGATGATCCAAACTATGAGTTGGACGAGATTAATATGTTTTTTCATAGAGTCGATTCGAACCAAATTATATACGAGGAGAAAAAGAAGAAGTGTAAATTTATTGGCAAATACGTCATGGGCGACGTTCTCGGTGAGGGTAGTTACGGCAAAGTGAAAGAGGTGCTGGATTCACAAACGCTTTGTCGAAGGGCGGTCAAAATACTAAAGAAAAGAAAACTGCGGAGGATACCGAACGGAGAAGTGAATGTCCAACGGTGTGTTCAACGAAAATATTATTTTTTCTTTTTCACAAATATAATATGCATTATAATATGCGATCCTTTATAATTTATGTACAAACGCAATGTACGAGGTACTGTAACGTCACTTTCGCTTCTTGCTTCTATTCGCTATGGAGTAATATCTTGCTACATTTGTTTACAGGGAAATAAAGTTGTTAAGGATATTAAAACATAAGAATGTAATAAATCTTGTAGATGTTTTATATAGCGATGAGAAAGAAAAGATGTATTTAGTTATGGAATTTTGCGTATGTGGATTACAGGTAAATTTTTTCACATGTATTTGTTATTATTTCTAATAATTATTAGGCTCGTGTGTTCTCATATATATATAGTTATATACATAATTGGTTATAGTATGAATAGTTTTGAACAATCTTTTGAAATATAATGATATATAGAAATTCTTAAATTAATGCATATTATTTTAAGCGGTGTTTGGTTCATTGTGCTTTAATTATTAATAAGAAATGCAATCAAAAATATTGATATAAAATTTGTATTTTTTTGAGTCATTCTCTCTCTCTCTCTCTCTTCAGAACTGTATTTTCAGGCTTTGGGTCTCGATCATTGCAGATATTGTAAATATAAAAGTGAGGGTATTTGTCAATAAATTTTTATTTGTTTGTTATTAATTTATGTTTACTTGTTACATTATATAAAGTTGTCGAGTCATTGCTCAATGCAAAGTGTTATTTTGTAATGTGTGACATTTATGTGACATGTAAATAGCAATATAACAAAAGATGCTCATTTTACAATTTGCTTTTTAAACCAAAAAAATTCACAATAACAGAGAAAAATTGCAAAATTTCCTCAATATAGTCCTTTCTTTTCCCATTTTTTTTTGAGTAATATAAATAACAGTATTGCAAAGAAGGAAAAACTGTAATAAATCACACCGAGTCTCTGCTATCAATATCTGTAACAATGGCTTGCATGAATTAACAACAATTAGATTTCTATTTATTAGATCCTTTACAGGATATGCTGGAAAGCACCCCAACCAAGAAGCTTCCACTCTGGCAGGCGCACGGTTATTTCTGTCAGTTGTTGGATGGTTTAGAGTACCTTTACAGTAAAGGGATAGTTCACAAAGACATAAAGCCTGCAAATTTGTTATTAACCCTAGATGGTACCTTAAAGATTAGCGATTTTGGCGCTGCAGAGGTACAAGCTCTACCTATAACTCGTTACTTTGATCTCGAAACACATATCCGCGATTGTTGTAATTATAAAGGCCAAGTCGGAAAGGCAGACGTTAACGCGTTCACGCAAAGACGACGGGCAGAGTATTCACTTATGAAATAACGTAACACATATTTTGCAAAACAACTCGTACTTCATTCCTGTTTGTGATTACGCATCTCCATTGTGCTAGGCGTTAGACATGTTTTCCAAAGACGATACATGTACGATAGGTCAAGGATCGCCGGCGTTTCAGCCGCCAGAGATCGCAAACGGCTGCGAGAGTTTCTTAGGTTTCAAAGTAGACATATGGAGTAGCGGGGTGACACTGTGAGTAATACGTTCGTAACGATCATCTCGCAACGAAAACAACCATATCTTATAGGTGTAATCGTATTTTACAGGTACAACATAACAACAGGTTTATACCCGTTCGAAGGCGATAATATATATAAATTATACGAAAACATTGGAAGGGGTGAATATACAATACCAACAGAAATAGAGGAGCCTTTAAAATCGCTTATAGAGGGAATGTTGCAGAAGGATGCAGAAGAAAGATTTACATTGCAACAGGTTAAGAGGCACGCCTGGACGATATGTAAGCATCCTAAAACACAGGAGGAAGTGCCTGTACCGCCCCTTAAAAAAGACGGATGCCATAGCATGACCGTTCTACCATACCTGATGGAGTATCATTACGGAGTCGACGAGAATCCCATATACTACACGGAACATCAGCTAAACGGTGGGTTCGTCTACGAGGGCGACAATGGCGATGATGATTTTTTGTATTTTAACGTACTGTCCCTTGTGATACACGGAGAAGCAGGGGGCCCCTTTCATCGCTTCGTGGTCACGCATTAGTGGCGGGAGAGCGTTCGTGGGGAAAGCAAAAAGCAATGTTGTTTCTTTCCGCAGAGGAACGAAGACTCCAAGAATTGGATCGTATTAGCGAGGACCGCAAAGCTACCTGCAATAGCCACCATACGAAATCCAACGCGCACCAGAACAAACGGCGATGGCGCAAACCGATCTCGTGCATTAGCATCAAGAGGTTCCCCTCGTGCAAGCCGTCGTGATTTCGCCGACCGCACGCTGCATATTCACTCGCACCGTGTCTCGCTGATCGTATCAGTCTCACGAAGTTTCTCCGTGACGGAGATGACTGAAGACTCGCGACGGAAAAAAAAACAAAAATAAATAAGTAAAGGAAAAAAACGAAGCTGAACACACACGAGATGTAATGCATCATTACAGCGCACGGATAGAATACGAAACTCGAGTCAGTTCAAAAAGCGTCGGATGTAAACGTTTGTGATATTAAGATTAAATAGCATAATCAGTGATCAACGATATCCTTATTAATCGCCCAACACCATGAAACGCTCGAACGAGAACTGACAGACTGTTCCGCGGTGCCGCGTCTCTCGAAAGCGCGGCTGATGAAATAAAATCGCTAATTCTTCAGGAGAATCTTTTCGCATTCACTTTTATTTCTCTACGAAAACTCGATGCTCCGTCGAGAGTCGCATGATACGCGCTTTTTTACAAATTCAACTCGCAAAGTTATCGTGTTTGACGCATACGGCGTAATTTCAGTAATCGATAAGTACGTTACACATCTGCCATTACTGTAACATATCGCTCGCATTTGTAAAAGAGAAAAAAAACACGAGAATGTTTCTTTCAATAAAAATCGAATATCTTGGCTGGTATTTTTATCCACTGGATATTTCTTTTTTCTCTCCCTTTAGTCTATAAATTAACAAAATATTAGCTCGAGTTTTCGTTTTTTAATAATATAGAGATTTAACACTCCTTGTATTCTGCCGCGGCCATGTTGAATTTGTGACGTCAGAAGCGAAGAACGATATAAGGTGAGTTTTTTAATTTATCGATGGATCCATTGCATGATGCGTAAATACAGCGAAACATTGCATTTGCACATCATGCGATGGATCCATCAATGAATTAAAAAACTCGACCATACTGACGATTTTTGCGTGCTATTTTTAAATATTAAAAGATTTCTAAAAAAGAAATATGAACGAAAAATATTTGTATAATAAACGGTGAAATGATGAAATGAGTCTATCTCATCTATTATATGATAGAGGAAAGGGATATTTTTCAATATCAGACAATTTTACAAGTGTTCTCGAGCAATCTCAAATGCTCTTTCGTCTATATTTATCCTTATTCAGAAGTGGCACGCGCAACTTTCGTCAGCATATCATTCCTCGCTTCTGACGTCACAAATCTGACATTACAAGGAGCAGTCTCTTCAATTGAATTCATTTGCCATCTTTTGTATTTGTCATACATTGTATTTCGATCGTTTGCAAGGCCTGCGCAATATGACAAAATTTTCAAGATCTTTTAAAATGTAAAATCGATTATCAAAAATTCGATATTTTTGTAATCAATTATTCGGAAGTCGATTAATCTTCTCTCGATACTGGCATCCTGCTAGGCTGCGTTTTGGCGCTTACGTTCTAAGCATTATTTCATCCTTGTTTCTATCAAATACTAAACAAGGACAAATGATGCTTACACGCGCTTTGAGCGCCAAAACGAACGCAGCCCTAGTTAAGAGTTTCTCCGCATCGTGGCGCCGTTCTTCTTTCTCTCTCTTTCTCTTTCGCTCCTCTTTGCATGCTTCTTCTCTCTTCTTCTTAAGTCCTGGCGTCGGCTCACTATGCCGCCATGTTAAAGTGCAGTGTCATCAGCGTTGATCAGCGCGCTCCGTAAAAGTGAGTGACAATCGTCCGATCAGTCTCGCACGCGTTGCACAGCGATTTTTTCTACATCGGTAAGCATGTCGAGCGGAGCGCTTTTCGGTAACACCGCGTCGCGCGGTGCCTCGAAAAATCTGGTGGAGTTCAAGGCCGGCAAGATGACTATGAAGGATAAGATGGTTTATCCGGACACGCGGAAGGGTCAACTCTACGTCTATCAGTCCGACGACTCGTTGATGCATTTCTGCTGGAAGGACCGCACGACCGGAGTTGTCGAGGATGTACGATAGTTTTAGCTCTAACGCTTTTTTTTTTGCAATTTATTACAAGTAAGAAAGAAGTAGTGCAGAATGTGTACCCTTTATATCCGGCCTTGTATGCTTAAAAAACACCTGATTTTTTTTAATTCTGTTCTTATTTTTTATTCTGTTACTTTGTAAAAAATTTCTTATCCTTGTTTTATTGATTTGTTTTACCTTCTGTAATACATCGAACTTTATATCATATTAAATATGCAATATATCTCAATCAAGTATACTTTTCAGGACTTGATAATCTTCCCTGATGATTGTGAATTTAAACACGTTCCTCAGTGTAAGACTGGCAGAGTGTATCTTCTACGGTTCAAGTCATCGAGTAAGAAGTTCTTCTTTTGGCTGCAGGTAAAAAATACAATTTTGTAGTGTACTACTGCAGAAATGTTAAAATGCAAATAGAAGTACATTAATATATATTATATTACTTTGAGATTTTATGAGCACTGTTATAGATAATTGTTTATTATTGCTTGATATATAATTGTTTCAGGATGTAATTTTACATCAAAAGTATTAAAGTAATTTCGTCATATTATACATAATTTCATGAAATGCATACTTTGTTCTTACAGGACTTGAAAACTGACAAGGATGAAGAACACTGTAGAAAAATTAACGATGTACTTAATAATCCACCGACTCCTGGATCTCAAAGAAGTGGTGGCGCCAATCCTGAGGGGGATCTTCAGAATTTGTTGAACAACATGTCGCAGCAGCAGCTAATACAATTGTTTGGTGGTGTCAGCCAAATCGGTGGCCTTGGCAGTCTATTAGGCACAATGAATAGACCGCATGGTGTTCAAAGCACAAGAGCTTCCACTACAACCTCCTCCACCCCAGCCTCCACCACAAATACATCTAGATCGACTCATTCATTGACTCCTGGATCTACTACAGACTCGTCCAAGTCTACGAGTAAGTTAATCCGCGACCAGATATAATATACAGCATATTCTAATGATATACTATTTAGATAATAATAATCAATTGTCAGCGAGAACACCAGCTCCGTCCACACCGTCCGCTCCAGCAACAACGGGTCCAAGCAATAGAATACAGCTTAGCGACTTGCAGAACTTTCTATCGGAAATTCCAACGCCACCACCGATGGAACCAACCGTGCAGGTAATGTCATATTTTACGTTTATTATCGAGTTAATTTAATTCGTATATTGTTAAGTATTGATTATAAATGATATCGTCAGCCAAATTAGGAAACCTCTCAATATTAATTTTTGAAGAAATTGAGATATTTCGTCTGACTTGTCTTGAAGGATTCTGCACTGTTCGGAAAATCTCCTGTAAAATTGGAATTTTGTGAGTTAGAAGGTTTTCTAATTTAGCCGACAATATTCAGTTGCTTAAACTTCAATGATTATCTTAAGATTAAAAGTCTTAACAAGATCGTATTATTATTATCGTATCAATCTCATTATCGTAACTCACTCTTTCATCCAAAAAGAAATAAATAAACAGTTCATATTTATATCTGTAACATCTCATTGTTAGTTATTTATGAATTGGTACTTGCTTTATCGGATAGAATTTGATAGGACAATAACTTGACAAAGAACATTGTTATATTAATATATGGGGCACAAAAGGAAGATAACATTTGTGGCAAGCAAACTATGATAATTATATGATATATAAGTATATGAATCTGTAGAAAAAAATCTATTTTAAAGCTCCTGTCTACATGAAAAAAGTAAGAGGCAGAGTAATTTTTTGGCAGAGTGACTTACAGAAGTGAGATATCTATCATGTTACTAATTGGATATTTTTTACAGCTGTTATTATTATCAGGAATATAAAATTGAGTACGAAATTGCTTTCGGGCCCTTTCAGATTTTTTTACAAATGTGTAAAACTATTCTCTAAATTAGCAAACTGAGCAAGTAAGAAACAGTTTTTTCTCATTATATCTATTTGTCTGATTACTAAAGTCTTCTTGTAATTATATGATGTGTTTTTCGTTACGATTCTGCCATATAAATAATTTATACGAGCACACAGAATTAACAATATAGTAATTTAATACATTCATTTATTAAAAAATCATTGATATCGAAAATATTATTATTGTGATAAATTAACAAAAGTTGAAAAAAAAATTCGCAGTGAGTTAATAAATTTACCTTCAACTAATAAGTATATTCATGAAAGCAAAGCTTAAACGAGTTGATAGTTTGTTTATGTGCTTGTAGATGATAATGTTGTATTAGAAATCACATGAGCGACAAACCGGGTACCATGTATAGCTAACTTGCGCCACAATGTTGCATTTACTCCCTTCTGCCACTACGACTCTGTAAGGTTTTAATAATTTATGAAAGTATTGCTTTGCCACTCGCGGTTCTCAGTGTTGCATAATCATCAGTTTTGTGCAGAGGGGGTGTCCTTTGTTTGCTGATTGTTAAACGTGTCACACATTTTCAACACTGAGATTACATTTGCTAATATATGTTTATTGCTAAGCTTGGTGCAAAACGCTTGAAACAAGATCGTTAAATGATAATATTAGCACGATGTATTGAAGCAAAGAGAGAGCAACAATAATTCTCCGAATCGGTGATACGCATCGATAGCCGTTAGACATAATTCAGTTGAAGATAAGGAGAAAAGAGAAATCCGAGAAAGGCAGAGAGGGAGAAGCATGGTTTTCTCACTGTTCAATATTATCCTCCGTCCGAACTTTACCTGGCTGTCGGAGACTCTGGCTCTGTTGAGCAGTTGGGCAAGTCTCTCCGGTTATATCTGCTGTTTTCGGCCAGCTACAGCGCAGCTTATTGTCCGGCAGAGGGGCGTAGCGACAGAGCTGACCAATGCCATCCCAGCGGCGATTTCTACGACGGAGAGCCTGGAGAGTGCCATGAACATGCACTTGCCACCCGGGGACAACCTGTGTACCACGCTCTCGTCCCCCCAGTTCTGCCAGGCGCTATCAATGTTCTGGTCTGCTTTGCAGTCGGGCCAGGCGGGCCCAGTCATCCGTCAGTTTGGCTTGGGATCGGACGCCGTCAATGCCGCGGCCAGTGGTAACATCGAAGAGTTTGTCAGCGCGATGGAGTCCGAAGCTAAGAACGGTCAGGGACAACAAACGCAGCAACAACAGGGCCAAGACGACAAGAGCAAGAAGCAGCCGTCGTCGACCGCTAGCCCCGATAAGAAGGATGATGACGATGAAGGCATGGCTTTAGACTAAGGATAGGATTCGCGCGCGCATATCTTTCGTTGCTTTCTTTCTCTTTTTTCTTTCTTTCATTTTCCTTTCTATACTTGGAACTTTGCGCGATGTATATTAGGCCTGGTCTACACTAGCCTTCAGTTTTATGCTCTAAGACATAATTTCTGGCAAAAAGTTTTTTCCGCGCTACTTTGACAGTTGGAATCCGGTCAACTCGCTTGGAGATTTCAGCAGTGGAAAACTACGCTACAGTTTTCGGCTTGGAGCATAAGACTAAAGCATAAGACTTACTACACTTATTGAAGACCCGGACTTATTGTCATGATGGTCTGCATACGATGATAAACTTCTTCCCGAAGACGCGATTCTTTTCCAATTTAATTTTGAGGCGTTTCAATAACACGCTTTCACCAGTGCGTATGTGAATGTTTTTTCTAAGTGTTCGATAACCCTATATTTATATATATATATATAAATGAATAATTAAACTTGATGCTGTCAATAAATAGTTAAATAAAAAAAATTGTAAAATTTCATCATTTATTAAAGTTACTTATATGTGCGGAAATTGACATAGTTAAATCGGATTTTTGTATATGATACACATACACGTCTACTGGATCTATCAAATTGTGAATACTTAAATATAACAAATTTTAACATAATGTGATTCATTTATTACAAATACATTGTGTATAAGTGTATGCACAGTTAATATTAAGTATTCGTAGAAAATTTTTTTAGAATGTAAAAATTAATAAATTTTTTTATTTAATTAAAATATTTTTTCCAGCTTGTGTCGTCATTTTAAAGTGTTGTCTTTTGTGAGTTTGAAGAGTCGCACAGTGTGACAGAAATAGATATAATTTCAAACTTTTTCTTGCATTATTGCAATTGTTTTTGCCTATAAAAGTTTAATTCTTTTCTTAATTCTTTTATTAATTCTTAATATTAAAAGAAAACAATTTTTTCGAAAATAATATGCTGTTCTTTATTCATCGATCTTATATAGTAGTCAAATAATTTGATATTCGAGCACAGTCGGATATAAAATTCGTATAAAAATGCAGTGGCGGGAAAACGCGGTCCAATCAACGACTCTTGTTTACGACGCACAAGCCTTCTATTGGTTCTCTCCGATAATCGATATATAGCGTTACCTGTACTGTATTATTAATCACTGCTGAATCGAGAGAAATTAAATATATTAGCAACTCAAACATATACGCAATTCATAATTGTTATCAAGCATCAAAAAAGTACACAATCTGTCTGTTTCGATTGCTGGTTAATATCTTAAATCAATTTTCTCAAAGTCTCGGAAAGGCAGCGATTGCTAGAGGTAGTAGGAGTGAAGCGTGTCAGGTGTTTGCATGTTCATTCGCCGGAGTATCCTATTGGTTGTTTGATTATGACATCACTCAGGCGCGGCTGTCAGCGCGAGAGGTTAAATGCTTGGGTGCTCCTGGTAGATAACGCGTTTTCCGTGAAGAAAAAGTATTTAATAATATATTATATTTGCATACATTTGCATACGTATACATACAACCTATGTGTACATGTAGACAGGAAAATCTCAACAAGAAGAGTCATCGTTAATTTAAAAAATGTTTACATTTGTAAACGTCAGTTTTTTCAAAAAATAAAAAATGCGCATATTATTACAATGATTATAAAGAAGTGATAAAGTTATGCGCAACTAATATTATGTTAATTAATTAAAACAGGGTGGAACTGAAATAAAAGGAAATGAGAATTTGCGATGAAACAGGAAATCACATATGTCATACATTATTCTTCTAAGATAAAAACATTGATGAATTTTAATCAAGTTATACACAGGGGTGTACAATAATACACCTCTCAACGGTAGGAAGGCATGAATCGAGGCGCGCAGGCACGTCCCGCCGTTGCCGGCAGGCTCTTTCACGCGCCGATCGAAGAAGCGCGACTGGTTGGCTGGCTCCGGCGGCCAGCCGGGTATTTGTTTGTAAACAAGTCAGTCGCCCCGCGTGCGAGCGCCCGTTCATGGCGCCGCGCGCCGGCCCTGAGAGCGGCCGCGGCTGCGCGCTGCCGCGTGAATCGAACAAGTAGTGGGGGACTCCCTCGCTAAACGCTGATCGCCGAATGCGCCTCGGCGAAATTCCGCTAAAAAAGCCGCGGCGTATATCGCGTCGGGCCGGACACAAGTGAGCACCGTTTCCCTTGTGAGTGCATCCGAGCAGCCGCTGCGGCGAGTCGCGAAACATCGTGACCAGTGTCATCGTGGAACAAGCTACGGATATCACGATAACGCTATTGTTGTGATAGCGGTACCGCGGTGGCTGGCGGTGGTGCGAGAAGGGCAAGAGGAAGGGACGTAGCGAGAGGGAGGGAGTGAGCGAGAAAGAGAGAGAAAGAGATAGAGCGTGTCAGGGGCCGCGGGGGGGTGGGAGGTAGGCAGGCAAGCGGGCAGAGCCAAGGGGAACGCGCGGTTGGCGATGAGGTAGTGGAAGAGAGACGAAGCGAATTGGTGTGTATTTGTCCCCTGTGTGTGAGAGAGAGGGAGAGAGAGCGGGTGCGCGCGCGGGACTCCACGCACACGCGCGACCGCGTACGTGTGCACAATGGCAACCTTGACACTTGGTGATCGTTTTTGGTGGCTCCGCGCCGCGGAGATCGCACGTTCGTCCAGCGGCATCGCGTAGCGGGTGAAAGCGACGACGGCGGGCGCGCCTCGAGCAGCAGGAGCAGGAGGTAAAGGAGGAAGAGGAGGAGGAGAAGGAGGTGGTGGAGGAAGGGAAGAATAAGAAACCACGGCGTGGAGAAACGCGGGAGTGTCGCGTACGTGGACGTCGGCGAGGATCTCTTTCTCGAGAGAGGAAGAGAAAGAAAGAAAGAAAGAGAGAGAGATTCGACTCGCGCACACTCGACACGTCGCGCGCGCGCTCGTGAGAAAGCGAGAAAGAGAGAGTTTGTTTTCGGTGTGAGGCCCGCGCCTCTTTGTTTTGATCGGGCGGTCCGCCACGGAGAGCGTGTTCGCGAAGTCGAGGCGTTGCGCACACCGCGGCGTTTCGGCCCGCCGTCCGCTGGAAACGCCGGCGGTGGTGATCGTTATCGGACGCCGGACGACCGGGGAATCGTCGTGCCAGAGGTTAGACGGCTGTGACAAATGTCGCTCGTTGAAGAAACGACGGTGGTATGATTCATCGGTTATCGTTCTCGCTTAGCTCACGACTGTGTGACGTGCGTGTGTCTGTGTGTGTGTGCGTGTTACATTTCTGCCCGCGTGTCACTCGTAAAGGGATATACCAGTTCGAATCGCCGCGATGCGAGTGAGAGATCCTCTCCTGTGCACTTAACAAATTTCAAACACGCGTGATTCAACGTCACTCTGCTCGTATGTACCGTGTATGTGCATACATACGTCGACTTGACGCACGAAAAATGACAGCGTCGCGCTATTCCGCAGCTCTCGAGCTTTAAAGCACCATTTGATCAAAGTTAAAACGTCGTTCGCTCGATTACTCGAAAAACAGATCCGATTGACTCTCAGTGAGTTCGCGATTGATATAAATGACGATCGTCGAGACCAATTTTCCCAATCTCGATTCGTTTTCGGTCCTAATCTCGATCTCTTTCTACGGACGAAAACACCACGTCACCAAACGCAGACCGACGTCGAGTCGAATATTTCGCGTGATCTCGATCGCGGCCGAATGTGTCGAGTTTTCCGCCGTGTACATACAAGCGAGCACATTTTCGCGGCTCGACGCTTGCCCCTCGAGAGGCGAAGCGCGCACGCGCGCGCGGAAACGTCAAGTCGCGCGAGTACCGCTCGACGCGAGTTCGCGCGGCGACCGGTTCGACGACCCAATTTCTTTTCTTGTCGTTTGCGACACGACGAAAACACAAAACACACGGAAGCGTACCGAGAGCGATACGTACGTACGTAGGCGCGCGCGCGCGCGTCGTCCGTCCGTTCATCCTTCGCGTGTATGTGTGTGTGCGTGCACGCACAGCGACGTGTACGCACGCGGAAGTCGCGCGTTTCTTCCTCCGCGTTCTCCCGACTGCGCGCACCGGCCACGCGCACGCACCGTGTTAACGAAGAGGATCAATTTGACGGGGAATATCGTGCGATTTTGTTTGCGTCGGCAATTGACAGCAATTGATATTATTTGCGAAGAAACCGTATTAGATTACCGCTGCATCGAGCCGATTAATCGTGCGATAATCAATCACCGAATTGCGACGAGCACTCTTGACATTCGACGAACTTCACAACATATCCGGTATTCAGTGGGAAAATTGATTTTTTCTCTCTTTTTCTGGGAGACAAATTGTCCTTTCAGATCCTACCTAGATGCTGTTGCGGAACAGATCGAGGTAAAAGTGTCGCGACCTTTCTTCCATCGAGACTTCCTATGTACGTCTGTCTTACGTGGCCTCGCGCGAGTCGCGTTAATTCATAACATGGCGCGACGTCCGAGCAGTCGGAGCGATTGACGAGAGCGATCTTGTTGTCGTGTGTGTCTCTCGACTCAGATAAGAACACGGCGATGTGAGCGATCGTTCCGAAGAGACGTCTCTGTTCTTCCACGTTGACTCTCTCGTCTGCGCTTTCGAGAAACGCGGCAAACGTCCCAAGCGAACATGCTCGTCATCGTCGCGTGGATTACGAGAGATTCTTTCACGGCGCGCCGGTAAAATCTCCACGCCTGTGATACTCCCCGTTCATGCGCGAAACACGACGCGATATAGTAAGTCAGGGATTTCAATGAGATTCATCGTAGGTCGAATCTCGCGGGTACGAGCGAAGGAATAATGACGAATCGTGCCGTTGGTGGGCGACTCACAGCGAGTCGTCGGCGAAGTGTAAGCGGAGAAATACGCGCTCGATTTACATCATGATACGTGCCGCTTTATTGACGAACGATTCCCTCGGCTTTTGTCTTCATTTGCAACAATATCGCGAGCGAGCGCGCGCAAACGTTCGCGTTTGAACGCAAAGTTGAAATAGCACCGTGCGCGCGCGATGTCGCGACGTCGCTTGACATTTGACGACCGCCTTACGTATTGAACGTATTTTGTTTCGCGAGCACGCGCGTATTTTTCGCCTATTGTATCGGTGCAAGACTCGCCACTTGTGTCAAGGTCGTCGAAGAATAATTTATATTCGGTCCCAAAAAAAGGGATTATCCATGTCGCCTGTCTCCCTCGCTCTTTCTCTTACCGTAATATCGAATACAAACAATATTACAGCAATTTGTACACAGCAAGCATATACGGTAAATCGAAGAAGAGCCGCGAGTATTGTCATCTCGCATCTTCCCCTGTTGACTGAAAAGTATCTGATTAACTTGTAACCGGGGAATTGCGAAATTATTCGGTAGTAGTAAAAGAGGCGGAAGATTCTGAGAGAGCGTGGGTGGGAAGTTTAAATTCGCCACTGCCCGGCCCGCCTGTAAAAGGAACTCCTCACGATCGATCGATCTCGCGAGAGTGCGCCGCGCGGTTCGATAGAGAATCGCGAGGAGAGGAGAGAGAGAGAGAGAGAGAGTGCGCGCGAAGGCGACACGAGGAATAAACTCGATGTTCACATTTGCGGGTGTTGTTACAGAGAATCCGGTCACGTGTGCGTGGACATTGACGTCGAGAGCCGCAGCGAGGGATGCGATTTTCCCAAGTTCGTTCGCGAGTGACAAAGAGAGACAGATAGAGAACGGGAAAGAGAGAAAGAGAGAGACAGAGAGAAGAGCCGGCAGTGACACGACTGCCGCGCGCAGCCATGTAGCCCGCGCGGCACGGCAGGAGAAGAGACGATTACACACAGTGCGTCGTTGCGTTGTGCACGCGCGCGTGAATCGACGGGAATGCCGCAGTGAAGTGAACAACCATCGCAGAACGTAACGCGATTCTTGTGCACGTTCTACATCCAACTTGTTCTAACGTTCATCTGTCACCTGTGAGGATATACGCAAAAACAAGGTGAGAGAGAAAGAGCGTGCATGCGTACGCTAAAGAAGAGGAGGAGGAGGAGGAGGAAGAAGAAGAAGAAGCGTGATCGCGGGGATTAGAATCGATAGAATTTCGTCGAGAGTACGCGAATTTGTCTCTCAATGCCTAGAGAACGCGTCAAGTGGCTCGCTTAGTCGTGACAGTGAAAAACTGCGACAAAATTTGCACGTAGCGCGTCTGTCAGCGTATCTGTCATGTATGGTCGAAGATAGCAACTCGCCGAAATTGCGATCGTTTCGATCCCCGATTTTTTGCATTGGTGCGTCGCTCGGCTCTTTCAAGACTCGGCCGATTATTTATCCAATTATCGCGTCTCAGTTGTCTCTTTTTCTTGCATTTTTGTCGTAACGATGAAATTTAAATTTATGGACATACACACGGTATTCGGTGTACGAAAATATACATGCTATTTTGGTCGAGAGATATATTTAGAGATATGCGTGTTTTTATTGTCTTGAAAGATTTAACGGCGCCAGTAAGTTGTTTTATGGATCTGCAGCTACGTTTCAAATCTTTACACTTTGATACCTCTTCATTTTGTCGGCTAACTGCTGTCAATCCACTTTGACTCCACTTTTCTTTTACACAGAGAGAACTTTATAGTAAGAATCACTATAGGATTTTGTAAGCAAGAAGCAAATTGACATTCTACGAAATATGAACACTTGTCATATTTTTAGTGAAATATATTATGTTCATTTACCGACAGTCTATTCTCCTGGACTAAAAACATAGCGAAATTGAGCTGAATTTATATGAAGGAAAACTATAATATTCTCTCCATGTAGACCCTTCGCGGATTGCTGGAGACAGTTGCATGAAAAGACACATCACGAGACATTTTAAATATTATTCGCGGATTTGTTACCACGTGTATTATAATTCATAGTACCAGCAAAAAAAATGCAAAACCGAGTGTCTTGGCTTGGTGCATTACGATTTTATCACACGCGACCGTAAAACGAGTCGCGTCTCGACGCGTCCGTCTAGCTAATCTCGAACGAGTTAATCGCGAAGTAAATTTGTTCAAGCGAGACCGCGGACGGACGAGTCCTCCTTAGTTTCTTGACGATATTATTTTTCGCCGACGACGGACAGAGACACAGATTTCTCAGCAGCATGGTACAGGCACGACGGGCGTAAGAGAGATGTTCATGCTGTTGTAAATTTAAAGAGAACATACGCTCGCAAGGACGATAGCAGTACGGTCAAGGGAGACAAAGAATGAAGGGAGCGAAACGTGCACAGACGAAATGAAAGGAACAGGGGAGAGAGAGAAAGAGGAAGGAAAAGGAGGAGGAGGAGGAGGGAGAGAAAGAGGTGGACAGAAGAAAGGAGAGGCACACAACACTCGGTGAACTTGAGAAACGAGAATCGCACCGGCTTACCGAACTTCTCGTAGATATTTCACGCGCCTTCTTTCGCGCATTTCGCTGTTAATCGTGCAGAAAGATTGAGATTCAGCCTGAAATTTCTCACTTATGTTGTTATTGTTTCTGTGTACTTTTTAACTCGCCGTCGCAATTTGCTTTTGTATACTCTTCAATTCCTTTTCACAGTTTTTATCCTTTTTTTTTCTTTTTGTAAATAATGATATGTATTTGAAAGAAAATTACACGAGATGACGAAACAATAAACACAAATTGAATCACGTGTGAGTGCGTATGTGTGTAGGTTTGTTTCCGCAATATATATATATATATATATATATATATATATCTTGCACAAAGTTTTCAACATCTTTTTAGTATTTTATTATCATCAGAGCCAGAACGGTTTTTGACATGTATTACACTTACAAAATCGTCTCTCCTTGCAATGCTACGCAGAGAGCTTGTCGCTTTAATTACGTGAGAACGAGATGATTTAGTGACTAAAGGTTTGCGTGGCTACGACGCGCGTACAAAAAAAAACTCAATAGCTGTGACATCGAATGCATAGAAATTGAGTTGGTTGACATTGAGGAAGTACGTCGGACGTCATCTTGTGAATCGAACTCGCCGTTCGCAGTCTTTTAGTCAACGGGATGTAAGGTGATGAATCTCGAGAGAATAAATGCTACCAGAAAGGTACCCGCGACAAAACAAATCACAAAAATGTACCATGTTTCCTCGTCAAACACGTCGGTGAAAGCTGGAACATGACTGTAGAGCGTGTCGATAAGTCTTATATTGTAACCTTTACTTTCCGTCTGCTTGGCCATTTTTGCAGTAAATTTTCCTTCTGCAAACTTAAAAAACTAGCACGCGTTGCGTCTAGATGTTTGTCGTTTCTACGGTCGGGTGCAGTCGACGAACCGAGTTTTATCTCGAGCGTGTTAATTGAATTAATACAGTTCGGGCTATTTTTATTTGATCGCTAAGACCTAGCAGAGACCCTGGAAGAATACAAAACGACGGTTACTGTCGATACTCGATTTCTTTGTCTTAAAACAAATTCAAGCGCAAAAAATAATTGAAATAAAATTTTGTATCGTCTATCGACGATTAACAATTTTGTCCGAGTCGGCGCGATTACCTGAGCTAACTATTGTTTTCGCAAAAGATCTCTCAGCGATCTCGCTGAAGGTGCAATTTAGAAGTATCACGCTCGACAAAATCGATTTATTACCAGCCACACAAACAATTTGACAATTGTCGCCAATGAGCTTATAAAAACACTCCTCTACGTTTGCTCCCTTCTTTTATCTTAATCCTTCGTCTTCGCTTTTTCTTCTTTTCCTCGAGCGCTTTTCCTCGAGCCTCGAGCTCGACCGGATCGGGCTCTACTAAAGAGGTGATGTGCTTGTTGTAAAGCTCCAAAATATTCAGACACGTCAAAAGACCCGTTTTAAATATCACTTTTTCACCTGACTCTGAAAAGTAAACAAGCCAATGACCCATTTGCTCGTTACGCTGCGTTGCGTAAGCACGATGATGGATGAAAATGTGAAAAGGTATAAAAGAAAAAAAATCTACGTGCGAACAATTCTCCTCTTCCCCCTCCCCTACCCCCGACAAATAATCATCCGCACTTGTAACTGTCAATTTGTTCGCGGCAAGCGGATTTCTAATCGAGCTGACTGCTTCGTCAGATGGAACGCACGGACGAGGTCCCGTTCCAGACAATTATCATCCTATATTGTCTTCGAGATATTGTTTTTTTTTTATACCTTTTCTAGTTCTATACGCTATGACGTTTACATGACAAGTGAATTTTGCGAGAACACTGATATACTCGGTTGCATGAGAAACGGTGACTTGGAATGCGTAATATGTCTTGCCATACTCACGAAGACTGAACGTGACGCTCGGATCCGAACGATCGCACACGATCTCCGTTTTCAGCGAACAGTACGGATTTGTCGCGAGGGTTTTCGAGCCGGTAATGTAAAACAGAAAATCTCTGCAAGTAAAGAAAAAAACGTTACGCGCATTGACCTCGTGTACATATATATATTTTTTTTTGTCCGTTGCAACGTTAGCGTTGATTTCAACGTGCGGGAGCGATCGAATTGCGCTCGATCTTACGTTTCGTTCCTTTCGTCGTTCTTTTTTTCTTTCTTTTTCTATCGCCCGTTTTCTTTATTTTCGGTCAATCTCGCGGCCTCGGTTCGCAAGCGATGCGATTCGCTTTAACGTTCTTTTGCCAACTTTGTTTCATCAATGTGTCGTTTCTTTCTAGGCAGAATGGCACAAATGGAGCAGCAATTACCGCTTCCAATGCCAGATTTAAGTACCCTACGTATAACCACAGCCGTCTCCATGCTTGGCAAAGCATACGGATGTGGCCAATGCAGCGGTAAGTCACATTTCACATTTGTTTAAACAACGAGGTACACGGCATCGTGTTGCAACGAGACGCAAAAAGAATCAGGCTCCATCGTCGCGTGCGCTCGATACCTTTTTTTTCTATTATACGCACACGCACAGTGACGAGACGGCAATAATTTTCCTCGGCTTTAAATATTTGCCCAAAGCAATTACTTGGGAACGTATTTATAGCTCCAAGTAGATTAGATCTCGCCCGTGTAAACTTATTGTTACGCCCCGGACTCTCGGTTTACACCGTCGAGGTGAACTTCCGTGTTAACGGCTCGATTATCGATCGCGAGTCGAAACAAATGGTCGGATTCGAGGAGATTATGTAGATAAGAAAGAGAAAAAAGAACTTTAGACAAGGGTCGTACTCTTTCGCAACGTCATCATAGCCGTGTACTCGAAGACGGCTTTATCTCGTAATTCAATATTAAGGGAAGGTGGATGATTCACGTCGTTCGATATCGAGCGCAGCCTCGTTTGTGCACAAATGTCAAAATCTCACACGGTATTGCGAGCTTGCAGGCAAGGGAGAGACGGAGAAAGAGAGAAAGAAAGTGAGAAAGGGGCGAACACACGTCTGTCGCTCCTTTCCTTTTTTTTTTACCTCTCACGTTGCGGTACGCGTTTGTAACGCGGCTTATCCTGGGTAACGCGAGGCTCACGGACGACTCGAGAGAATTTTCCGTGGTTAGAAGAAGGGCCTTTCACGACCAACAACACGCGCACGATCGAGACACTTTTCTATAAATAACGGGGCTGCGCATCGTCTGCTAGCGTAACGAGGGGCTGCGAGTTGCGCGTGCGTGCGTTATCGACGTCACCGGCAGCTAACCTAACCCAACCCAAAGCTAAGCTGACTCGTCCCGGCGATTGATCACTGTTCGCTCAAACCTTTCGAAGAACATGATTTCGTACCGAACTACACTTCTCTCTTTGGTAGAACAGCATGGAAAAGAAAAAAAAGAAGTTACCGACACTTTAATAAATCATTGATCCACGTTCAACCCGGGTTTCGTTTGTGTTGTCCTCTATGGAGGATTTGTTTACCTCCGTTCCGAACCTAACTTGAATGTTTACTCGACTGTACTTGACACTAAACAGAAACCGCGTGCTATAACTCAAATTCACTTGGAATAAGTTCGTTTTTCTCTCTTCTTTGTTCGGGGAGTTGTGCAAGTCGGGAGATTAAAGAAAGAAACGATTGTCTCCATGGCGCATTTCATGTTTTCCGATATCGCCGTCTCAGAAATCAGTAGAGTACAGGTGCATCACACAAGCATCATCGTCGAAATCGCGCATTTGACGGTGCCCGCGCAAGAGAACACCGTGGCGCTCCGGTGCGCGGACAACTTCAGAGAACTAACCTCGTAGGCTTGACATTCTCATGGAACGGGTCGAGACGCACATTGATCCTTTTGACTGGCTTTAAGTTGACGCTCCTTAGTTGCTTCAGAATGGAACTGATCACGCCGCCGGAACGCGTGCGACAGCCGCTGAAGGGGATCGACATTTTGTGCTACGATGAGAGCACGCGATCCTGCCTTACGACGTATCGCTCGTTACCACTGCCGGAAGTTGCCGCGCCAATGCTGCCAATCTGCGTTATATCCCCGTGCTGCCGCTGACGGTGTCGGCGCCACCGGGCGCCGATCATGCGCAATGACTTCTGCGACGATACAGATCATTATCGGAACCGATGATTTTTCTTACGTTTTTCGTTAAATTTTTTTTTCTTATTTTAACTCTTTTTTTATTTTAAGCTCTTTCGGTATTCGTTGGATTCACGTCGAACACGACTTATCCACTTGTGAATCGACTGTTTGGTTTTTCGTCAAGTCTCAAATATATACACACACACATATACCCCACACAGCAGAAATGTCCCAAATACATATTATAAAGATATTTCAATATCTATAGCATATCCCTATAATATATTCGGGACATTTCTGCTGTGTAAGACAGAATATACCTGGGACGATAGCTTTATATCTAGTACGAGCTTTAAAAATGACGCATAAAATGTCTTTAAGATGTCTTAGTTATGCTTATGACATCTGAAAGATGTATCATAAAGATGACTAAAGGGCATTTTAAAGTCATCTTATGCGTCATTTTTAGAGTTCATGCTGTTTGGGTATATAAGCCTATATAAAACTCTATTGTATGTATAAATTAGGTCAAATTGAACACAAAATTTCTTTACCATTTTGCAAAAACAATCACGTAAAATTTTGAGTTATTGATTAAAGCAAATTGCTCGCGCGGGATACAATGAGTGTGTAAGCACGATTCACGTTGCATACAGATCAAACTGGACGAGAATGTCCACCATTTTATAAGTAACCACGTAGATTTTTTTAGTTATCAATTGAAAAAGTTTGGCGAATAATCACGCACAATCGTTCGTTAATCTTCTTTAATTAATAAATTTAATTAATAACAAAAATCTACGTAGTTGCTAAATAACAGGATTTTTTTGTTCAATTTAACCTGATCTACATTAGAGTTTTATATGTAGTCATCATCAGTTACTTGGTATCTCATTTCAAGCTTGGACAAGAATTGGACAGTTATAGAAAAGAGGTTGCAACACTTTCACCTTCATGAATTCCAGGACGTATCCGGTATCCAGTAGGAAAAGTTGTTTTTCAGTAATCCTCAAAAGATAAATTTTCCTGTTGGATACTAGAAAAAAAGTGTCGCGACTTTTCTTCTATTGATTGAATATTGAGTGCGGTCAAATTACGCTTATCAACTAAATATTACCGCGGAGATGAAATGTGATGAAAAGTCTAACGGTAATAAAAGTAACGACGTGCTGGTCGAGTCTTTTTATGATCGGTAACAGTCTATTTATTATCTCGTTAACCGGATCTATAAGAAAGTTATTACCTGCGATATATCACACTACCCCTTGCGCAGCATTATCGTCAACGAACATGCGCGTTTCACGCAAAGAGGTATTTTGCACGAAGAAAAAAAATTGCCTATCTATTGTTCGCGATCGACAGAATCGATAATGGAACGTTAAAACGCGGAATATACCGGCAAAGGTCTACGCACATTGTACGCATATCCCCTTCACGTCGAATATTCTCATATGGTTTTCGAATCTTGTTATGTCCCGCGTAATAATAATGAGATGTAGCGGGCGACACGATTGTAACTGGAGGCGCGAAAAATTCTCAAGCGCCATTCGCGCACCCATTGGCCGCGGCGCGACCAATGAACGCCGCGCTAGCGGACGCCATTGCGAAGGGCAGTAGTCTCGGTTTGGTGTCGTTCGCAGTGTGTGTTGTGGGGAAGCGTGTAGTGCGGCCAGTGGGTCTTGTGTTAAATTTTTTACTTATTTATTAGTGGTTATCTGGTCTTATTCGTCCGGCGGTCGCGACAATGTATCCTGCAGGACAACGTGAGTATCCTGGTGTCGCCGTACCCGCCCGGGATGGCCGCGGAGACCCTGTAAACAAGTCCTCGCTGACGTCCGCTGACGAGAGAACGAGCGAGCGTACGCTCGCCAGTGAACGAACTTCCTCAGCGCGGACGCAGCGTCCCCCGAGCGCTTCCTGGCCCTTCGTTGCATGCCCATCGACGACCCCGTCCGCTTCCGGGAACTTGGCGCATGCATCGCGACTCCTTCGTGGAAAAAATGACTCGTTAAATGACCTCGGATGAACCTCGCTCAACAGGCGCGCGTGTCGTCACTCGTCTGCGATCCGTTAGACGTCTCAGGCTGAATCGCGCGGACAAGCCCCACTGCATTAGCTAATCCTGGTCTAACGACTCGCTATCTCTCTTTAGATTATGCTTTTTATCTATGAGACACGCAGAGACGGGAAGATAGACTTAATCAAGATTGTGTTGGCTGACCACTAACATGACACCTGAAAACCTGAGACTGAGCTGTGCTCTCTCTGGGTTGTCCGATTAATTCATTATTTTCCTCACCTTCCTTCTTTTCCACGTCTCATTTAAGTTTAAGTTTACACTGTAGAAAAAAAAAATTGATGTTCAGTTTAGACCAAATAAGCGTTGATTGTTGATGCGCAGCCCAAATATTCAAGTCACAAGACTCATTAAGAAAAGATTGCCTTGAGTTAGATAGTGTATTTCTCAGAAACAGTTGTCTAAACAGCAGCGATGTAAGCTCTGTATCATAAAAGAAACTAATGAATATAATTCAACCCAGCATATAGTAGTGATAACGAGTAAAAGTTTTTCACTCTTCACTATGATTCTATTACTATTAGCTTTGATACTTTGTTTAAAATAGATATTTGTAAGTTATGCTTCTGTTTATTTTGTCTTCTATTCTCGTCTTAGGACCTAAAGAGAGGAAATATCTTTGGTTCAAGATAGGAGAATTATATTACTGATGTGAATTTTATAATTGAGCTCTATAAAGACATATATGCCTTTATAGCTATAGTTGTTGTGCAATATATATATATATATATATATATATATATATATATATATGCTTGATTGAAATGAAGCAATGTTATTTTTGCATAATATATAGCAGTAATAAATTGTTACGTGTTATGTTGAGTAATTTTCTATTACACAAAGTTAATAGTTGCACCATATTGATAAAGAATTTTCTAGTATATATTGTGTCAATTAGTATTTATGAAAAATTATTTAATTTAAAAATTGAATAGGCACTTTTAGCTTCTACAATGTTACTATTTTAAATGCTCTATGGATCATGTTTTCCATTAATAAGTCTACATATGAGTACGTGTCACTTTGTTTGATATTTATATTAATACAAAAAATTAAAGCATATTTTGTCAATCTTAAATTATAATTATTTTAAATCATCTTGTTAAATATGTACATACATTTTTCTACATTCAATTATGATCACTGATATTCTGTGTTAAAAAAAGAATAAAAAGAGGAATATACAGATACTGTAATCTGTTGTTTAGCTTCTGCTTAAGATCTTTTTTTAAGCATTGAATATTCAACGCATCAAGTAATGATTTAATTGTATGCTTTATGGATAATACTATTACATATAGAAATACTGTTGTACCTGCTAAATTGAAAGAAATAGTTTAAAGAAGTAATCTAACTTTAAGAAATAATCTAATCAAATTAAGAAAAAAGATAAAAAGTGAAGAGTTATAATATATTTGCAAAATAATATTGTTTTTAATCTTACGTAAACGTATGTATATATATATATGCAAGGCTGATATTTTTTATCAACATTTAACAAGTGTTTTATGTTATTTTGTATTTTTGTAGCACCCCCACCTGGGCCGTCAACGAGCGGTGGTTCTGTTGGGGCAGCTGGAGCAGCTGCTAGCAGTGTCGCAGCTCCTAGTTCCATGGGGCTTGTACCCGCACAACAGCCACACCCTCCTCAAGCATCAGAACTGCCAAGTAAGAATCCATATCTATTCTACCACTGTGCACATACGAATGATACACTCTCTAGCATAATATTACGTTATACATAAAAGAGATTAATGAATCACCTGTTTTTCCTTACACAAATTATTCTTTTATTCTTCGTAGCGTTTACATGCCCTCGGAGACCAAATATAGGACGAGAAGGTAGACCGATTGGCTTGAGAGCCAATCACTTCCAAATTACTATGCCACGCGGCTATGTACATCACTATGACATTAATATACAACCTGACAAATGCCCTCGGAAAGTTAATAGAGAAATCATAGAGACTATGGTTCATGCATATACTAAAATATTTGGAACTCTCAAGCCTGTGTTTGATGGCAGAAATAACTTGTACACAAGGGACCCCTTGCCCATTGGTAGTGATAAATTAGAATTAGAGGTAAGTTACTATTTTTGGCCATAATGTAGCTGTGAGGCTTTGGATATTACGCAACTTGTGATAGCTGCTACAATTATTGTTTCTTTTTTTTTATAGGTCACACTGCCTGGTGAGGGTAAAGACAGAGTTTTTAGAGTGGTTATAAAGTGGTTGGCGCAGGTTTCATTATTTGCTTTAGAAGAGGCTCTTGAAGGACGTACTAGACAAATTCCGTATGACGCTATACTCGCTTTAGACGTTGTAATGAGGCATTTACCATCTATGACATACACTCCAGTAGGTAGATCGTTCTTTAGTACTCCGGATGGGTACTATCATCCATTAGGTGGGGGCAGAGAGGTATGGTTCGGATTCCATCAGTCGGTGAGACCGTCACAATGGAAGATGATGTTAAATATCGATGGTAAGCAAAGAAAGAAATGTTCGATTCGCACTCGTATTTTGTGATCTTTCATCACTCACCTGTTTTCCTTTGTACATCCAGTTTCTGCCACCGCTTTCTACAAAGCACAACCGGTCATAGAATTTATGTGCGAGGTATTAGATATACGAGATATCAACGAACAGAGGAAACCACTAACGGATTCTCAGAGAGTGAAATTTACCAAAGAAATAAAGGGTCTCAAGATCGAGATAACTCACTGCGGAGCTATGAAACGAAAATACAGAGTGTGCAATGTTACACGTAAACCAGCCCAAATGCAATCGTAAGCGCATCTCAAAGCGAAACATACTAATAAACATAATATCGTGTCGGGTACTTAAAATGCAACCGGAAATACATGCTTCGTCTCAATTGATTACAGATTTCCGCTGCAACTGGAAAATGGGCAGACAGTCGAGTGTACGGTTGCCAAATACTTCTTAGACAAATACAAAATGAAGTTGCGCTTCCCACATCTTCCCTGCTTGCAAGTTGGCCAAGAACACAAACACACGTATCTGCCACTCGAGGTATGCCGCGCGAAATCTTATCTCAAATCTCAGCGACGTTGATTTCTCGCGAGACTATTAGTTAATTAGAAAATATACTTCGAATTATTAGATAATTAAATATTGAAAATGACGCGACTTTCTTTTTGCTGCGAAGGTTTGCAATATCGTTGCCGGACAACGTTGCATTAAGAAGTTGACCGACATGCAGACTTCGACTATGATCAAGGCAACCGCACGTTCTGCGCCAGATCGTGAACGAGAAATCAACAATCTGGTTAGAAGGGCTGATTTCAACAACGACTCTTACGTACAAGAATTTGGGCTGACTATATCGAATAATATGATGGAAGTCAGAGGTCGTGTTCTACCTCCGCCCAAACTGCAGTACGGAGGGCGCGTAAGTTCCCTCAGTGGACAGGTGAGAAACTTCCAACTAAATCAGTCAGGTCTAGCCGAATTACGCATTTATAGAGGCTGATGATTTTATTGATTTTTGTAGACATCAGTTTTCTCGTAACGTCGGTGATCTGTTTCTTCGACAAATATTATAGATCGTTTATTATCTATTTTCTATGTTCTCTTTTCTTCTGTAATTTGCAAATTGATGCTATTAACTGGCGAAAGATATCTGATGTTTTTTGCGCTAGTCGTTATTCTCGATTTCGTTGTGTCTAATTCTTCCTCGCGGGGAACGTGGCAGAACGTAGCGAAGATTTGACTCCCACTGAACTCCTGTTGGAAGCGTAGTACAATTCTATTGCTTTTACTTCTTTAGCGTGTGTTCTGTTTCTTCGCAGTTCGCGCGTTTCCACGTACTTCTCAATTTTCAAAATCTACAATTCTTTTCTCGTTGCTGAAAGTCTTTCGTTCTTTCCCTCGCATTGTTTTAAAATTCGGGAAGGTGAGTTCAGTTTTTCTAGCGGGAAATAATTGATAAAACTTATCTTTTCTTACGTCTCGTGTGCAATAGCGTTTGCAAAATTTGTATTCTATAATGTATGTTATATATCGTGCTGATAATATCGTCGATATTTTAGTAACGAAATTATACCTCTACACATGTAGCCAAAAGTTGTCAAATGAATACATGGGTTCTACACCTGGTTGATTTGATATTTGGGCTGCTAGTGTAATGAGCATTCATCTTGTTACTGTAGCATACAAGTGTTTGTTGTTGTGAGATAAATTATAGGCGATAAATGTGAAGGATACAGCTGTTCTGGAATATTAGTAGTAGAACAAAGTTGTAGTTACGGTTTACAAATGTAACTAATGTTACATTTGCAGTCCGATATCACCTGCGAAAATTCGATGCTATCAGTATTCTTTCTATGCAGCGTATTGATGATTCTTGATTATCTCTATAAATTATCCTCACCACTTAAATTTCCGTAATTACATTTTGGTTTGTTCTCTATTCAATTAGTTGCGCTATATTATCGATAAAGAAAAAAGAAAAACAAACGAGAGAAAAGTATGCGTATGCGTGTGAAAACACTGATGCATCCACTGCGTCAATTGTATGTCGCTTGAACGAGTCGTTTGAATGCTCAATAATGTATATCTTTCCCTTAAGACGAAGCAGCAAGCGATGCCTAATCAAGGCGTATGGGATATGCGCGGCAAGCAATTCTTCACCGGAGTGGAGATCAGAGTGTGGGCGATCGCTTGCTTTGCGCCACAGAGAACGGTGCGCGAAGACGCGTTACGCTCGTTTACGACGCAACTTCAGAAAATTAGCAATGACGCCGGCATGCCTATCATCGGGCAGCCATGCTTTTGTAAATACGCCACCGGACCAGATCAAGTTGAACCCATGTTTAGATACTTGAAATCAACTTTCCAAGCGTTGCAGCTAGTTTGCGTTGTACTACCAGGCAAAACTCCTGTTTATGGTAACTATATTACTACACTACATAAAAAAAAAAATATGTATATATATATATATATATATATATATATATATATATATATATATATAATATGAGAATGTAGTATTTGAATTTATAACTGTCCCGGATCTAATTGCCCATTTTTCATCTGTAGAATATTGAACGGAGTAATTTAACTTCATTAAGGAACTTTTTAAGAAAAGTTATTAGTTTTCTAATCGGCTGTAATGCAAGATTTATTAAATTATTACTAAATTTTCTTAAAGGACTTGTCAAGACATTAATGTTTTCTTAAATTATTTTATAATTGTTGATATCAAAATTTTTATTAATAGAAATTTCAAATTGCCCAAAAATACTTGCAGAGAAAGTGGCTCGGTAGATCTGGTGTCAATCGTGTAATTATCACAAATACTTGAAACAAGTAAGCTCTTTGTTTTCCAGCCGAGGTGAAAAGAGTAGGAGATACATTGTTGGGTATGGCAACTCAATGCGTACAGGCGAAAAATGTTAACAAGACTTCACCGCAGACGTTATCTAATCTCTGTCTTAAGATAAATGTCAAATTAGGAGGCATCAATAGCATCTTAGTACCTAGCATAAGACCGAAAGTGTTTAACGAACCAGTTATATTTCTTGGGGCCGACGTAACTCATCCTCCAGCCGGCGACAACAAGAAACCCAGCATAGCCGCTGTGGTGGGTAGTATGGACGCTCACCCATCTCGATATGCAGCAACCGTCAGAGTTCAACAGCATAGACAAGAGATTATCCAGGAACTTAGTTCGATGGTTAGGTAAGTGTACTTTGAGTTACATTGTAATTCACGAAATATTGTGACCAAAACGTTTAATGGGTTTCTCTATAGTAATGATATATATATACACACACGAATATATATACACACACACAAAAGTGTGTATGTGTGTACACACATATCTGAGAGATAAATCAGGTTAATCGTGACAAGTACATGTGATACAAGTAAATACTTCTATATTATAATCATTCTTCTATGATGTGTAATAATAATAATAATAATAATTGTGATTAATTAATATCGATCATATATCAATCAATAATAGCTTTTATAATATAAAAATTTCTCAATAACACGCGGTAACTATGAGATATGTATAATAATTATAATGAATATAATTATAATAAGTATTATAATAAGTAAATATACGTTATATATATATATATATATATATATAATAATCATGATATTATTGAAAAAATAATATTGTCGATTATATTATTAAAGAATATATTTCTGATAACACATAAATAAACGTTGTGTTATAATAAATATTATGCTATTTTATGAAATCAATCTGATATTTATTATTGCTTTGTTGTTACATTTATTGTTACATTTTTCTTCTATTTTATGCTCTCAAGAGTGATATTGTATAACGACATTCTTTCTTTTCTTTTTCTTCAAGGGAATTGCTTGTAATGTTCTACAAGAGTACAGGTGGATACAAACCACATAGGATAATTTTATATCGCGACGGTGTCTCCGAGGGTCAATTCCTTCACGTTCTACAACACGAATTAACTGCCATTCGTGAGGCATGTATCAAACTCGAGGCTGACTACAGACCTGGCATAACGTTCATCGTGGTGCAGAAGCGACATCACACACGTCTGTTCTGTGCAGATAAAAAAGAACAAAGCGGCAAGAGTGGTAATATCCCGGCGGGCACAACTGTTGACGTGTGTATAACTCATCCAACGGAATTCGACTTTTACCTGTGCAGTCATCAGGGTATCCAAGTAAGGATTTACATCGTTTTTTTGAAAACATGCTCATTCAGATTTGGTCATTTTAAGCTATAAGCGCTAGCAATATGCACTTACTTCTTATCGTTTCACAGGGCACATCAAGACCGTCACACTATCATGTTCTTTGGGATGATAATCATTTCGAGAGTGACGAGTTGCAGTGTCTCACATACCAACTGTGTCACACTTATGTTAGATGCACAAGATCCGTCAGTATACCAGCGCCGGCATATTACGCTCATCTCGTAGCATTCCGGGCCAGGTATCACTTGGTCGAGAAAGAGCACGACAGGTAAGTTATCGTGTTATCATTACTTTTGTTTCGTATCGCTAATGACGTAGCAGATCGCGCCATATATCGTGTAATTAAGCGAATGGCACATAGGAAAACGCATTCAAGCTAACCACATTCAAGATTTAATAATGTAACACTATCGTGTCGAAATTTTCAAGTGTGATTAATCAATTCGCTTATTGCTTAAGTTTTGCTACTTACATTTTTGTATGTGAAGCATAGTCCTTAGATTGCGGTACATTAGAGTGCGAAGTCATAGTTGTGTTAATTTTGTCTAATGTCGCTATATCTTACAGTGGAGAAGGATCTCATCAGTCGGGCTGCAGCGAGGACAGGACGCCCGGTGCGATGGCACGGGCAATCACAGTTCACGCCGACACAAAACGAGTTATGTATTTCGCATAATTCTGTTTTTTCTACGTTGAGTCGAGCCACTCTCACGGGCAGTTGTCGGTCTTCATCGCGAGGGAAGAACCTCAACGTACCGCAATGGTGGCTCAGTGATGAATTTGCCGGGAAACTTCATGGGGCAGCGCGGATCCAGTGGCAGCCGCGCGCGCGACTACCAGTGGTAGCGTGTCGCATCACAAATTCTTTAGACTACTTATCAACGGTTAGGGCAATTCTCTCGAGTGGTCAGTTTTTTTTTTTCGTGTACTCTCCGTCTTTTATTTTCCCTTTTTTTTTTTTTACTTTCCCGTTTTAATTCGTAAGAAATCCGCGCGACAATTCGGGTCGAATTATGTATCTACACGCATTCGTTTTATCCACATACGTAGAGATAATGGTGAATTTTCGATGAACTTTCTGAATGTTGTATAAATCGAGTTTTTACGAGAGGTGCTCTAAGTTAATCATGTTTTTTTTTAGATTAGATTAAGGACGTTTTGCAGCTTGACTGGTGGAAAATCGTTGATCTTTTAGTCAAACTAACACAAAATATTGGTAGACTTTAACTATATTATAGACTAAAGGATACATAAATCAGCTGCAATGCGCATGTTATTACGCTTATTTTACCTTTTCTAAGAGAATTAACTTCTCTTGGCATTTGTGCACAAAAATGCAAAGAAGAACGTTTTTACGCAAAGCCATATGGAGTCACGATTATACATATATCTATATATATATGTATGAATAGTATGAATAGTTCGCTGTTCGCGAAACTATAGTACTTTGTTGCTTGAGTATAATTATTGTTTCTCGTGCCGAACGAGAATAATTTACATTCTGTGAATTTTAGATTTCTAATTATACTGATTATACCAATAGATTGGCATAAAACAATCGTCCCACATAAGAATGTTTCTGATTGTGTGATTGTTCTATATTGAGATAGTACTTTTGGTATGTGTACATGATAACTAGATTATTACTGCTGGTCATTTGTATTATCTATAGTAAATTCATGGGTAGAATTTATCAATAAAAAGAAAGAAAAGAAAGGGCGACCAGGTCAAGCTGCAAATTGTCGATGAGTAAAATGCGACCGAGTCGAAGTGAACTGTAAACCGTACTAAATGCCAAGGAAACTAAGCGAATGGCCAAAGTAAGTTAGGGATCTGTTAGAATAAATCATCGTCCAATAGAACACTTGACTATGAATAAGCTGGACAGCTGGTTACGTGATGCCTTTTAGAACTTAAATCACGTCGTGCCACACTGCTCTGCTGCTACATAATTCCCTGCTGTAATACCGTTATCTTTTATACAACGCACTTTTAATCAGTCTAAATCTAATGTCATTTTGAGATAATTCCGAAGTTAATTCTTACAAGACCGACGGAATAACACCATTGCGTGGGCACGCCTTGAAATAATCGGTGTATAGTGAGTAAGAAGGAACATATAACCTTTGTATGGAGAGAGAGAAAGAAAGAAACACATATATTAGTGATGTAATTGAAGTGTTATATACAATGTGTCTGGTAATTTAAGGTATAACGCTCGTGTGTAGGTACAATGCATCTAATTGGACAGAACTCTTGTACCATTTTGCAAATTTTGCAATAATTAACTCTTTAATAACTATTGCGAAATTTACAAAATTGTGCATCATTTTTCTGTTTGGCTTGATCCTTTCTACTTCCATACGATTATTGTGCCTTGAATTGTCAGACATCCTGTATATATGTGTATATATATAAATATATATATAGAAAGTGAATTATAATTCCGTAGCGTTAAACTGTGGTTAAAGTGTTGAAGTTTTAATGCAAATTAAGCAACACAAACACACACACATCATTTTTTATAATTTAATACATTACTGCACTCCGCCTCTCCCTCGCCACTTTTATCTTGTTTGGGGTCTCGTTAGGATGTACATTTTATTCTACTCATTTTAGTTTCTTATTACGCGTTATCGTACTGTACGTTGCACACAGCTCATTCTCTACGCTTACGTCAACTATCAATGACGCTCAGAATTAGCATAGCATCTTATTTGTGTTACAACGCGTATTATACACGCAAGAATATCGAGGATGAAAGTAAATTAAAGGTGGAGTTCGTGTTTGGTGTCTGAAACGGTCGAAGTGTTGTTTGTTTAGACAAAAGATAGCTATGAGAATGCACATCATGGCATTAGATCTGGGCTGATAACAACATCCTTTTAAAACAAAGAAACTCAGTGCAAAAACGATTAATGCAAATAATGCCGAAATATTAAAACGATGCCGAAAAAAATGACGAGGAATGACAATGTTCACAATATAAGTAGTATATTCAACCGATAGTTGAGTGATACTATAGAACATATGATAATAGGATGCGCAGCATAAAGTAAGCTATGTTTTATTCGACGTATGCGGCGAAAATTTTAAAGCTCTCGTATTTTTACTCTATATAACAGCGTCGTCTGATAGCGACTCCTCATGGCAGGTGTCTATCTCGGATGACAGAAATCTATTTAAATAATCCTGTTGTACAATAACTATTACAGGACGAGTCTTACGAGCCTTGCAAGTGTATTACAATATAAGTACGTGATTAGATTATCTAGATAGAGGATGTAGCGTATAATTATTATCGGTATTAATTATCGATATTAATTATCGATCACGACATAAAAGCCGATTATCGACTATTATTAATGTTAGAATCATTAATATACCAAGATTCTCTTCTTGTACAATTAACGCAAGCGAGTTCAGGTGGAATTTTTTTCCGTTGCAATAAACCATGATTTGTAGATCAGTATTAAAGAACGATGCGTTCTACCGAGAAAAGAAGAGAATTCTCCGGGGGTACCATTTTTGCCGAATCACCAATGATTATTCACCGAAGTTCACGGGAATGTTTACTGTCGATTGTATTAATGATTCTAATATATTAGGTCTACAAGTGATATACAATGTTAACATTATCTCAGAAAGTATGAAGAGGACCTTCTATCTTTAATATATTTATTCTAGTTGTATAAATTTAAGTCCGTACTCTGTACAGACTAGGGCTTTGACTTACAACGTGTCCCCCGTGAGAAACATTTAGGTTACCAGGTTAATGAATACTTGGAAATTAGGTGAAGAGCATATAACTTTCGGCATCTGTGTGACCGACCGAACAGCCACTTAATCTTAGCTGTAATAGTAGGGCAACCTGTAATTTGTATTGAAACATAAGAGTATCTGTAATAGTCGTAAGAAGAATTCATGAACATAGCAGGTATTGACCCCTTACAGCAAATATATGTGTAGTAACATATATAAAACAAAGTACGTAACATATAAAGCCGGTGGCATATAATAAGAAAGAAAACAAAAGAGAGAGAGAGAAAAAAAAAGAAAGATTATTATTCGCGTTGTTGAAAAAAAAAAAAGAGATACAATTACACGTACCAAATGTCTTAGCGCCGGGGAAAGACAAAAATAAAATATTAGTAAATTATGCATCATGAATCGTAACGAGGCCATACAGATCTATAAAAATAATATTCATATACATGTACATATGTATCGCGCAAAGCGCGATAAATGAATATTTCTAAAAATATTGATAATAGACAAAAAACAAATCTTCATATCTTCTAGGCGCATTTATTTTTTTTTTTTTATAAAATCGTCGAAGAGAATTCTAAGTTTTACTTTTTACTTAAAAAAAAAAATATATATATATATATTATCCAAATTTATTCTAAAATTATTGTTTTACATTTTTAAATATAGAATGTAATATATTTTTCCTTATATAAATAAATTTTTCTCGTCAATCTGCATATGAAAACAAGAAGATAAAGTGAATATTTCACGAGATATATTTCTAGATATATTTCTTATATTTCTAGATATTCTGACACAAAAGACAAAATATATCTTGAATATTTGCTATTCGTTGACTTTACTTTCATACTTTTACATTCAAAATAAAGAATCAATTAATATTCATGTTCTTTGCATCCATATAAAAATCGCGATGCGCAGCTGCATACTTTTTCTCTTTTTTAGTAATATATGGTCTGTTCTTTTTAGCTGCACTGCTGAACTGTGCAATAAGTTACAATGAGACAAATATATTTTTTCTCACTCTAACTTGTTGCACTGGTTTAGCTGCAGTGCAGCTAAAAAGAACAGAGCAATAGTTATGTCGCTATCAACATCGGTGAATAAAACCTCGACATTTAATGTACGTCATCTGTCATCAATATTTCTAGAGATGCTCGCCTATCGCGCTTTACGTGCCTTATCTTGCGTTTAGGTTTTAAGGTAAATCATGTTATAATGAACAGATGATATATAATTGGCAGGAGAATGGCTACCAAAATGAGACGAGGAATTATGCATGCTGCCTACCTCGTTTTGAGATTAAGAGAATAGGAACGTATTGCTATGCAAGGTTATCTCGAGTGTTACGCACTTTTTTTCTTGGTCGTGAATTGCTCGATATGACCACAGGATTGTGATAATTTTTCCGGCAAATGTTTTGTGAAAGTCTTTTGAAAACTTGCAAGCCCGTTATAGCTTTACATCGCTTGAACACTAAGATTATCATTTTATAATCGAGTCTTTCATCAAATATTCGTTAAGGAAACACCAACAACTCACAGATTCGCTGGGGAACTTACGACCAGGAGAAACCGCGCATTTTGGGTTATAATGTGTATGTTCAAATCTTTTGTGCTAAGTTTTTTATTCTACATATTTTTTAGCTCTGCGAAATAAATATAACAGGATTTATGTTTCGGTAATTAATATATAAAGCTTGTTAAAAATTATATCTATTATAAAATCGCATGTGTTAGATATTGTGTATTTATATTCGGGACGCCCTTTTAAAGTAGAGGAACGATGGCGACGTGAAAAGAGAATAGGCAAGTTTTATCAGACCATGGCATTATAGTTAATCGCGAAATTACTATAAATGATGTATAAAAAGAGCATAAATTATCAGGATTCGGAGAACTTTAATACACAGAAAGCATCATAATAATTAACTTTCTTCCACATATTGTATCATATTTTAATGTAAGAAAAATAATTTATATTTGTATATCTGTATACATTCGCACACGCATACACGTACACACACATACACATATACTCAAGCGTACTTTTTCAAATTGAATTTTAAAACGTGAGTGAAGAAAATCTCATTCACTAACGCGAATCTATATGTCAATATACAATATTATAGAATGTTGTACTCCTCTACAATAATTTGCTAGCCACTCGTATTTTACAGAGCTTTACGAATTATAGATATATGTATAAAAAATCACACACACACACACATACACAATCCCACATACTAAGCTTTATTGATAATAAGTTATTTTACTTCGAAAGGACATGTGTGTATATCTACTTTCGATATCGCTGTATAATAATAAGCAACAACCGACACTTGAACAAAATCGTGGATTTTGTTTAACTGTTGTCATTGATGCTACCAATTCTACAATGTTACTTTTGCAATCGTGCACATTATATCACATTTTGTTATTAATATAAATTTGTGAAATCATATCTACCTTGTTTTCTCTCGTATGCATGATACATGCATACGTTAAGCTTTTGCGAAATCAACAGGACATAGGATAGGATAATCATACATTATTAAGAAAGTTGTTAGATTAACCAATTTTTTACCTGCATTACGTCGATAAGCTTTGACAGTTGAAAAAGTGAAAAATGGAGTTATAATTACTAACGAGTCAATATATCGATGAATACCGGCTCTGTTGTATTATTCGCGGCGCAAAAATAATCAAATATGTTTTAGAGGCGAGTTACATTAAGTGAGCACATGTCGAGTAAATGTCTTTAATAAGTACCTTTTTTTATCATTTACATATGAATACATATAACAAGTAATAACGGGTAATATACGAATCGAAAGTAGAGGATACCGAAGTCCTTTCGAATTTACTCGATGCTGCGAATATCGATGGACCAGTGAGCAGGAAAACTGACAGTGAAAGCTTTCTGAGAGGATCAGGGATGTTCATTATTGCCTGATCTGGCTCCGGCTTTGACGCCGCGTTCTTCACGGATTTGTTCTCGACGTTTCGTGAACATTCCACTTCACTTGTCCAGGAGGCTTCTTCACTAGAGGGACTATCTCAGGTTTCAGGTTTCAGGTCACACTGAAGAAGTGAACTGGAATGTTCACGAAACGTCGAGAACGAATCCGCAAGGAACGCGGCATCAACTTGGGGAAGCCAGATAATTTCATCATAACGCGGGAATCTAAAGTATCAGATGTTCATTATTGTAAGTTTGCTACTATTTAAGCCTCGTGCGGCACATCACGCTCGCGAAACACAGGTAAAATCGAATGTATCTCAAAGTGTCAGCTTTAAAAGTGCCAGAGCCCTATGTGCGAACGATCGATAATGGAGCTTTATGATAATTAACACGGCACCAGCTTTCGAGTAGTCATAAAAGATATGTAGTCTTTAAGGGCTCCGTAGGTTAATGTTGTAATCGCGTCTGTTTCATTTCTGTTTTCTTCGAGCGTCTACATGAATTATTATTATGCTGTAACGACCAATGAGTTATAGTTTCACGAGTGAGTCCGCTTGAGATATAACGTGGGTTAATTTGTTCGTCCCGACGGAAACGACGGCAGTACCAGTACTGTACATACATACGACCGTGAGAAGTCGGTACCGAGCTATAATTAGTGATTCCGCACGTTGTTCGTGACGCTTTAAATAGGTTTAAGTGAAAGCGAAATTCATGATCAAAACGTAGGACCGATCGTCGTCTCTCATCAGCCGAATTTCAGCCGAGTCTTAATCTGAGGCTGAGGAGTCGTACGATTTGCCTTTTACGCAATGTGTGTAAAATATTCGACAATATCTCGCTCTGCCACTGATCTTGAAATCTCCCTCCGGCTTCCCGAAAGTTGTTACGCGTTTCAAGCACGATTTCGCCGGACTTGTCGATATGCCGTTTTCGTGCTTCAAACGTGCGCTAGAGCATTGTAAGCACCAATCAGCGCTAATAAGTAAGAGAACCGATCGCAGAGAAGCGAAGGGATAAGAGGAAACAGACGATCGTTCGATGGGTATTTACATTTTAGCGATTTTGCGCATACTGTTTGATGTCTCCGAACGCGTAATCCAAAAATAGCTAGATAAGAAATAGAAATATTGAACAAGCAATCCCACCTTTCGTTAAAAGAGACGTCAATGAGGCATTAACTGAATTTGTTCTCATTATAGTCCAACATCGACGCGTGTTTCGCATTTTCATTGCAATCATATCAATCGCGCGTGTAAATCCACGATATCCGTTAATTTAAGCCGCCGACCGAAAAATTCATCTAGGATATGTGATCACAGCGACGAGTTGGGTGTCAAATGAGCACGTTTCTGCGATTGCCATTTCCTTCTTGTTGTACCGAAATGAAATGCATAGCTGACAAAGTGAGCGTGAGCATCGCAAGTGATCGAAATTACGCTCGAGTGGTACCAATTTACGCTTAAGATTGGTGAAGACTTCAAAGAGACGGTATTCTTTGTGTTATAATTGAAATGCGCGGCATTATTTTTTATTTATGTTTTTTTTTCATTTGCGTATTCTTTATTTGCATCACAGTGTATTATCCTATGTCTATCGATATGACTTGTACGTAATATATTTTGGGGATATTGAATCAAAGTGTTTCAGTTATAAAGCACTGTAATTTCTTTCATCACATGAGACGAAAGGAGATATACTTAGTAAACAACTAGCAGTAACGTCACATCAATGCTATAATTTTCCACTCAATAATGTAAGTGCAATACAACATGTTGTATATATAACACAGTTAAGTGGGAAATTATATCATTCATGCAATATTACTGTTGATTGATTTATACTGAATGCTCAAATAATTTCCATACTATCTGGTAATCTCCGTGAACATTGAAATATCGTGAATTAACACATCGTACTTCAATTTTAAGATTGGAATTGAATAGCGGATTCTGGCGATTCTTTGCGATTCAAAAACTGCGGGTAATAAAATTTAGAGATCACCTATAATGTGTAAGAACATTTTCGCAGTTCACGGTTAAAAATTCACAGTAATAAGTATCTGAAGTTTCCAAAAGATTAGAAAGGAAAAGAAAGAGCACAGACGATTTGAAAATAAGTTAAAGAGCTTAGTACAACAGTCACCTGATTTTTTTTTAAGAACTTGAGAAAATAAATCTGAATGTAATTTCTCAGGTTCTTAAGAGTAGGAGAAAATTATGTTTCGCTCCAATATAAACTCCGTGCGGATAGTAATAAACTGGTTATCCTTTTAATCTTGAGAAGGAATTAAAATTGAATTTATATCTAATTTTTTCAAGGAAAAGAAATGCGGATGGATCACTGTTGCACTGAGCATCTCAGTTAAGCCCTCATTAAGATGATTAACGTTCACGTGTTCAGCTAATATTCATACAAATCATACATGCTAATACTATACAAGATAGTACATACCACAGAGTTGCATAGAGAAAGATACAAAGTTACACAAGATTCTGGCTCATAGATACAAGTGCATAGATAGTACAGGAGAAATGAAAGAAAGAGAGGGAGAGAGAACGCGACATTTTCAAGAACCCATCGCACAATATCCAAAACAAACCACAAAGAATCTCCGAGAGCAATGGTAAAATTCGCTATATGAAATTTCTATATTTACTCCATTCAAGTGCCTGGCGCCTTATCCGCGCGTATTACACGATATTAACCCCCGATACGATTTCTGAAATTCTAAAAAGTATTCCAAGCGAGCGAGAGTTTGAATATGGTGTAAGAGAGAGAGAAAGAGAAGGAAGATAAGGAGGGAGGAAAGAGAGAGAGAGCGAAAGATAGAATGAATGAGTGAAAAAGTACCTCAACTATTACGTTGATATCATCGTGAAATATCGAAAGGTGTGCCGCTGAAACGTGTATGTTGTGTGTCTCGGAGCACGGTTGATAATAATTAATTCATTAAGCAATCGATTAAGTCGAACATGTATAATATACTTGTTAAGGGGTGAATCGGCGAGTTTCCTAGCGTTCCCCGTGAACATGTTTGAGGAACCGACTGGCCGGTGCACTGAAAGTAAACATTTAATTACATCCAATTATTATATCCATTGAGGGTCTGATCATCTAGCGACAAATGCCTGGGAAAAGAGAAGGTCGTTATTAGTTATAAGGATATATATATATATATATATATATATATATATATATATATATACACATACATACATATGCGTATATACATAAGTATATACATAGATAAACGTGTATACATAGGTATAGCCGTGTGTACAGGGTGGGGCGATTAAACAACACTTGAACATGCGCCCCCTCTACTCTTTAAGATTGAGGAAAATATCTCGCGGAAAGGCTCGCTCCCAAAAATTATGCTTTATTCAACATTTATCCCCTAGAGTCACAGGACTTTCCCCCGGATATTTTCTTCCTCCGGCTGGAGACACTTCAGGAAAATCAATCGATTATAAGGGAAAATCTGTATGATCACAAATACAGTATTCTCAGTTTAAAGCAAATAACTTTATCATTAACACTCGTTCCCCAAAACGATGATGAATACGTTATTCCAATATCTCTGTCAAAATATTAAATCTGTCGAATTAATCCGTTGTATCATTTTAGGCGATAAACTTTGATGTATATGTGTGTGTGTGTACGTGTGTATGCGTGTGTGCGTGCGTGTATAAAATTCACCCTGTATACATATATATTCATAAATGTCGGATAAATAACTGTGGGAAAAGGGGGGAGTAATTAATAAAATAAAATCCGGTGTGTAAAATGTATGTGTGTATGTCGTTAATCACGGTTTTTCGTCGACACGACAGCCGAGGTCGGGAATAGCGGACTTTCGCGCGAGATTAATGCTATCGGACGATCACTGTTCTTGATTCGAGCAATTGCACAAGCCGAGCACGATGCGTGTTTTACAAACGATATATATGCGTTAAATAATCGATAACGACAATGCCGTCGTGACAAGCGTCGTCGGCGCCGGTGGGATAGTACGATCAGGGCACATATTATGGAACTCCTTGGAACCGATTGGAATAATTCCGTTTTCCCTAGGAAAGACAATAGAAATCTAGCGAATAACGTAAATATTCCGCTCGAAATCGATTCTGAAGAAATTCGTAATACGTATCCTAAAGAAGCAGTTGCGGCGCACTGCGAACAATTACGTACGCTCTGTACACTGTATATAAATTGAACGATGTTTATACCCATCGAAAAGATAGCTGTGAGTTATATGTTAGGTGCTGATGAAATTTCGTCGAATTTTATAATTTCATTGACGCGCACAATGATATTAGAAATGAGTCTTGTCACGGAAAGTGGCGAACAGCAATGACACTTCAATGCACTCATATGCGATTTTGTTACTATCGATGAAATAAGTACAACTGAAAAATTCGACGAACTTTCGCAAGCACCGCTATTCATCTGAATTCTGCGACTTTTTTCGAACCGTTGATAGCAACTACCGAAGTTAAAGTACGTGTTGAATTTTTTAAATAGAATATCATTAAGTCAGATATCATCAAATCGAATATCACGCGTGAATCGATTTAGTTTTATAAAACTTCGCGTAAACGATCGATTAAAAAATATGAAAAGAAGAAGCAGCCAAACAGTTCACGAGATCGGTTATATTTCGAAATCAATTTCGAAGTGTTAAGGGGATGCCATACTTGAAAACTTCACCGACAAAATACTGACTTTTTTCCGCAAACTTTTGTGTCATATTGGTTTCATAGAATTATAAATGCTTCTACACAATAAAAGTACGTACAAAAATGAATTGGAGCATTAAAGCAATATGCGACGAAAACGATAAGAAATCTCGAAAGAATCAAATTGATATCTTGAGCTGCCACTTAGCGTAAATATTTGCCTGATACAAAAATTCTGCAGCTTGTAAATATCGAACGTATGCGTTTGCCCCGCTCAGAAAAATTTTCAAGAACACTACTATACAACTGAACTTTACAACTGTATCTTTACAACTGAACTGAAAAGTTCAGTTCAGTTTCGAAATATACGAAAAGTTTGCAGAAAAAAAGATTTCTATACATGCGTGGTTAGATTTTCCGCTAAATATACAAAAAAACGCACATTTATATAAGGTTTATATATAGGATAAATTCGAGAAGAATAACGTAATTGTGCACGCAAAAAAATATCGGTTTATGTAACTGAATGGGGATCAGACAAAAAACTCGCTGACCAGAAGCAATATTTCTGTCACTGTTACCGAAAACGTTCGTCTGAATATTCAGCTACATTGAAACTCGATTGAGGTGACTGAAAGAAACTGGCTGAGTAGGAACCTCGTACAGGAATCTTTCTTTTTCTATATGGAGGGAATTTTATAGTAAACATTATTATATAGTAACATTATTATATTGTAAACATTATTATATAGTTAAAAGGAATAGATCGATATTCTGTCGTATTCTTCCATGTCATACGTACCGCTTATATTTTAAACTTAAAATATAAGCTAAAATACCTTATGAAAAAAATTGCCATATTTCTAGAGAACTTCACTATATTCTTCCAGTAAGATGGACCATTGTTGACAGTCTATTCTTGGATTTCTAAAAACATAGTAAAACTGTGAAAGGAATTTATATTCCTCGAAAAGAAACTATAATATTCTCTCCCAGGTAACAGAAAATTCAGTTGCAATAACGGAGTTAGTTTTGCATATAGCGGTGGCGGCATACGGTTAGTGGCGATCACTTCTATGTTACCGATATTTTTCGAGTTTGTTATCCATCTTTTGGCATCTCCTTAAATAATAGCCGAGATCACACGGTGTCACTTTCTGAACCAACGCACGCTCGCTCACTCACACTTGCGTGACATCTTAATGATTTAACTTACTGTCATACATGTGTCAAAAATCGCTGTTATATCGCTGCGAATGGAATCGATATCGTTTTCAATTGTAATGATCGTTTCATCACTCTTCGGCGGTATTTGTTACATACTTATTAGGCGTGTTATTTTTAAGGTCACCTAGTGAGACGTGAGACTCGTCGTTTAAAAGATAATCGTTTTATATTGTTGCGTATTCAAAAAAATGTATTCAAAAAAATGTTTCGTCTTATTCCATACCTATAATGCCGCGATTATACGCGGCGCGAGCTGCAATTGCGTTCGCGGCGCGAATTTGGAGTCGCAAGAAAAAGTCATGATCGATCTCTCGCGAACTATGCGTTTCCGCTTTGGCGCACTTTCACGTGAATGGTGACAAAGCTTCACTGTCGAGAGGTTTTTTTAGCCTCTCTCCACGTAGAGATTCGTACGCAATTCTGCTGTGCATTAATTGTAAATTAAAGACAAGAATTATGAACTATAAATATTAGTTTGTGTATCGTTCTACGAGATTACGGGCCGATTTGTCCAACCTCTCGGTAAGCTAGGCAACAGTTAAATCCTGTACGCCTGCCTTTGACTAATTTTAAGGAAAAAAAAACAAAGATAGAAACATGATTTAACTGTTAGTTGACATATCAAGAAGTTGCGCAAAAATCGACCTTAAGAAATAAGAGAAGCTGGGGGTTAATCATTGGAATCTTTTCGCCTAATATGAATTCGTGAAAAGTGAAAAATTTAATCTTGAAGATATTTACTCTTCATGAGTTTACATTAGAGGAAAAGATTCATGATTCCCTCCAAGTATTGCAAAATTATTCACTTTACATAATTTTATATTAGAAGGGAAGATTACATGATTGATCACATTTGATTACATATACGATTGTATTGATTAATTGATGAGTGTGATCGAGTTCACGTGAAAAGATTCGTGATTAATGCTCTGGAGCAAAAAATAAGAAATCGTAAATCAATCCATGTATATAACATGTAGCGTTAATTGACGTTCACGCCTCTGCTCACATCAATCAAAAATGAATTTGATATATTGGGATTCTGTGCGGAATCTCGAGGAAGGTTAACGTCGCGTCAGTAATTGTCCGCAAAACGTCTAACTCGATCGGACTAGAGCAATTTTCAAGCGGTTTTTTTCTTCTATTCAATGTTTCTTTGCCGATTTTCGTTATCACACCCCTCCGAGATGCACAGACGAGTCGCGGTTGAGGATCAACACTCGATGTTCTCGGTATTATAGTAGACCTCTCCGCGAATCTCTTTGTAAGAAGAGGCTATTCGTCTATTCACTCAAACAGAAAGCGAGTCATTCTACAAGAAATATGAAATATCGAAACAATGTCTTTCACCTTTTTGAATCCGTGTATATTGTTTGAAATTACATACGTCGTTAAAGCGATAAAACATCGAGAGATCGTCTCATATATCGATAAGTATCGATCGCTTGTGACGCGCTTCAAAAGCGAGTACGATCGACGATGGACGCCGGGTATTCTCTTAATTAGCGAAGTATTTTCGCCGAACATGCCCGCGGGAGATAGCTTTAACATTTTGTAACTTTAGTTCCAGATGAACTCTTCGATCACGCGCAATGTGTCTATACAGAGAGAACAATTTGGTTGAATCAAATAAACACTTCTTTGGAATAGTCCAAACGAATTTTTTGGTTGATCGAACAAAATTTTATTTGACGCAACAAAAATATTTATTTGCGGCTTAGTTTGAAAGAAATATTTTTGTTGTGTCAACCAAATAATTTGTTTGGACTATTCGAAAGAAACATTTATTTGATTCAATAAATCGGGTACCTAATCGCGCGCGTGTATTGTAACTGTTGATCACACTTTGAGGAAGTGGCTCGAAATAATTTAGGTCTCCCAGAAATATTCTAAACGTTTAATATTCTAAGGACATAGGATATCCATAGAATATCGTGTGTTGTCTAGGAATCTACAGTCATGATACAAAAATATGTAAATACACACGCTGCGCGTGACCGAGAAATTTAATTCGTTTCTGCAAAATGTTCGAACTATTCTCGCGGATTATGTATGCACGTTTCGATCGATTTCTTGTCGAGACATGTGCATACGTGTATCTTAGATCGGTCCAAAAAGTTTGGTTCGATTTTCTCAAGTCTGAAATTTCGTCGTCGGTGTTTATGATCCTTCGACCAATGATCCGGCAGCATTCTTATATCTCTGTCGTGACGACCGGTTTGATAGAATTAATTTTAATTTGATTTAGTTACCTTTAATTAATTTAATCTAGTTGGAAAAAGCCGCTGAAAATTGAAACAAACTTTCCGACCGATCTTATACGTATCTGATAATAAGATTAATTAAGAAGAAGGAGCCGGCAGGCGCGGAGTTTTCGAAGTGCAAATAATATGTATATGTCTGTCCAACATCTTGTACACCAAGATCGATTAGTTTGAACTTCAGTCAACGATATATTGTCTCTCTCCAGCGAGAAATGACTCGTCGATCGACGAGTCATTTCTCGCTAGGTCTTTGTCCACGTATAATCGTAAGCGTAATTTAAGAGGGTATAAAATCGTTGATCGGAGTGTTTCCGATTGCCCGAGTCGAATAATTTTAGCCCTACTTTCGGTCTCAACTAAAATGGAAACGGAAGTTCTACTTAGCGCCTATAAATGGCAGGGAACACACAAAATGCCACTTGTAGATTTTAAAGAGGACTTCCTGGCAAAGCTAACAGGTCATATGGGATCAAAAGAGATTGATATAGGTTTCACAGCATCAAAGTAGGTGTTGAATGGAGTATTGAAGTCGAAAGTAGGATCACACACAAAATTTCGACTCGGATGAATTCTTGGGCAATCCTTCCGTTATGTATCGTCAAGGTAACAATTTACCAATAAACAATAAACGAAAAATTGGACGTATGGCATGTATAAGACGTAGGATGAAACTTAACTATGAATTTGCGCAGAACAATAACAATAAAAGGTTAGAAAATGATTAAGGTGATTTAAGATAAAACTAAAATACTAGAGAAAGCGGGAACTTCTTTGTAAAATATATTGAAAACCCAAGAAAGACGAAGACTCTTGAAACTGGTAACATTCACTCGCCTTAGTCAGTTGCGCTCATTAATAACGAGACTATGATTGTACCATTATTAATTATTATTGTACTAATTAATATACATATAGTGAGATAATGAAGCACATAAGAAAGAGAGAGATGCAGCTCTCGATGCAATTAAAAGGACAAATAGTATGGAAGGAAATAGTAAGGGAAAAGGCATCGGTGACGTAATCGAGTCATCGGTATATAAACAAATAGAATATAAATATAAAATGGAATAAAACCACGAACGGCTACGAAAAAGATGGAATATTAAAAGTAAGCTACTAAAAATGATTCTACTAAAAATCCTACTAAAAATGATCAGTAATCTTGGCGTGATATATACGGCAAGATAGCTCAAAGCAACTTATCGTATAAATCACGCACGTTTAACCACTTCTCGTGTATAAAGATGAAGCAAAGTGATTACAATTTTATTAGCAACACTCGTTCTCGTTGTATATAAACTGTGTATGTATATATATATAAAATATATAATATATATATATATATATATATATATATATATATATATATATATATATATATA